CAACTAAACAAAGTAAATTTGTAAATCTTAAATAGCTTGATATGCGACCTAAATATTTGACCATATTCAAAAGACACAAACGTAACTTTTTTCATTAAAAAGTATTCAGCAAAAGTGAAAAGGCAGATGTAACTTGAGGCTGACTTATGGCTCTTGTTCATACATCCTACACGGTCATACCAATATTCTCTGTAAATCAAAGGCAGAAGGAAGCAGACTTAAAGTAATCTGATGCAGTATCCAGGACTCACCTAAAAAGAGCTTCTTTGTCAAATACAGTGTCTGCAGGCATATTCACAGGAATGAGGAGGTCTGGATGGGAATCAAGATGAACAAAGCTGATATCACTGGCAGGAAGATGCTTTGAACCAATGGCACGATAGATGAAAGGCAGCACCTAAAACAACACACAAATATCTCCATTGTAACCAGTGAGCTGAAAAATGCAATGGCTTTAATAACAAAACCACTAGTTTGAGTTGGAGGGAGAAGATGGAAAATAATACAAAGGAGAAACAACTCCAGTGGCAAGACGCTCATGAACGGTAGTAATTATGAGCCCAGGAGTTCCACACATGAGAAGCTGCTGAAGAATCACAGCTCTGCTCCCTTTCTTCTTCATAGGAAGTCTTGTTTGCAGAAGCTCTTCTCATTAATCATTCAACTCAATTCCTAGGTTTTTTCATTTACTACTGAACCCCAGGAATACCTTTCCTCTTCTGCAGAACATTGTCCCTGCATTGCTTTGTCCGTGCTATAAAGCTTCCTCACCGTGTGTGCTGGTTTTCTGTGGTGGGGTTTTTTGGTAGCAGGGGAGGGAGCTACAGCAGTAGTCTCCGTGAGAAGCATCTTGAAAGCTCCCCCAGCTCCAAGTCGGACCCACCTCTGGCCAAGGTATCAGTGCATCAGGGAGGACTGCAACACTCAGGGGTGACCCACGCCAGAGCAGCTCGGGAACGGCTGCGGCCCGTGGGGAGGACTCACACCGGAGAAGGTTCGTGGGGGACTGTCTGCAGTGAGAGGGGAGCCCCGTGGAGAAGGGGAGGGATGTGCAGCGTTCACCCCACCTCCCGAGAGGTGACTGTAACCCCCATCCCCTGCCCTCTGTGCTGCTGGGGGAGGAGGTAGAGAGATGGGGAGCAGAGCTCAGCCTGGGAAGACGGGAGGAGCGGGTGGGGGTGTGTGTGTGTGTGCGGTGGGAAGGTGTTTTTTTTTGGATGTGGTGGCCCTTCTCACTGTCCCGGCCTTGCCTGTTAAGTAAGTGTTGTCTTTGTTAGCATTTGAACTAAAGTGATGTTTTCTTCCCCTAAGGAGTCTGTCTTTTGCCTGTGACCATAATGGGCTAGCTACTCCTTAGATTGATTCTTCCAGTCATTTCTGCCTCACACTCTCCTTCCCATCCATGATGGGGGAAGGAACCAGTGAAAGGCTGCCTGGTGCTCTGTTGTCCTCTGGGCTCAAACCACAACAGCACGCAGGGGTGCTGTGGAGATAAAAACATCTCATTACTTTTGTTTTATAAGTTAACAAATATAGACTGAAAACTGACCACACCATCATTTAAACTGTAGTTGATCTTTTAACCTATCCCCCTTGAAAAAAGGGCTTAATTCCTAATCCCTACATGATTTAGTGGCTGCAGTAAAGAAGCTACCTTTCTTAACTGCCCAACTTTATCCCCTGATGAAGGTCTTCACTCAAAAGTGTGAAAAACAGGAGATGAGACAAACCACTTAAGTACAATAATGCAGGGTGGTAAAATGAGAAAACCATTTTGGTATGAAAACATAAATGGCTGATTCATGATACCTCTTACACAGAACCGCAGTACGTAGTCCCTCCTACAGTTACGGGACAGTAACTACCTTAGCTGTCAGAACAAATCCAGCAAGGACTGTGAATCACAGCCTTATTATAATGGGACTGCAAAGACTGTAAAAGGACTGGGCAACAAGAATTACACGACCTCTACATTACAACAGAAACTGAGCTAATTTTTCTACATAAAACTAATTAAGATGACAAATCCTGTGGACTGCATAGGCATAACCATAAAATACGACTGACAGATGAAATTTGGACTGTATTCCATCTACCTAGTAGTAAATTCCTCAAGGTTAAAAATAACAAGGGTTCTCTTATCCATGACTTTTACTCCTTTGGAAAAAGCAAATCATCTGGCCTACCAGAACCAGTTAAAGTTTTACCTTCAGGTATTGTTACTACAAATTGTGAGAGCAGGAGAGGATGGAGGAAGATACAAGCAACTAGGATCTCTAACCTTGCAAGCTCTCTTGCTTTGGATTAAGAACAAAATTTCCTTTACATCAGCTGTTATTATTAATCAAAGTACGACGCATCTAGTGATACCTTGCCCTAGAGGAACATCAGTGTCAGCAAAGGACCATATAAAGTTTCTGTGACGTTCTTACACTTTGAGATGAAAGGCCATATATGCTTTATGCAAGATAGACCAATGCATGTACACACATATACTGAAAACACAGCATATATATTTAGTATGAATAGACTTTGTTAAGTTAATTGAAAATAGAAGTGTAGAAAACAAAACAAAGATGAATCATTAATAGTCATTATCTCAGTACTTTTATCACAGTGACACTCTTAGTCCTTGGTTACCAAGGAAAACCAGCTATCGCAGCACCAAATATTTCAGTGACTCTTAGCAAAAATGGTCTGTGTTAAACTATTTGCTTACAAGTTCAGAACATTACTTGCTTTAATAAACTTTATCACAGTAATTTTTTCTGTTTGCAAGATACCGACAGTGTTAATGCTTTTCAGTTTTATCTCCACAAAGTCTTCATGCCCCCAGCAATCCCCACTGAAATCAGAGGGCTTCTGCACCACTGGGTAAAGAATCTAATTCCTTAGGACTAAGGCCTTAGCTTACGCTACTATACAGAAATCATATGGGAAACCAGAAAAAGCAGTTCAAAAGCAACTCGGTTTTCACCCCCTTGTTTAACTACTTAACTAAAAAAGGTAAGTTTCATATTTAACGTTTCTCAGCAAATGCCAGTCATTCTGCTTGTTAGGGTGTGATTATATTTAGCGGTTTGCTATTGATGTCTTGTACACTGTGCTGAGCTGAGTTTCAAAATACTGAGCTGATACCTAGCTAATCTAAGAACAGTGTAATGTAGGTATTATTTCCTTTTAACTATAGAAACTACGGCACACCTCCCTTCCCCAGGAGAAAAAAACCAAGCAAGCAAGCAAGCAACCAAAAACAACCAAAAGCAAGCAAGCAACCAAAAAGCAGTCAGCAATAATCGGTTAAAAAGAGGCCAAAATCCAATCATGGTATTAATTAACTTAAATCACTGAATCAGGAAGGAAATCCAGGCCACCTGAGCTGCTGAACTTCATTTTTGCTTCAGCAGCGGAGGAGGAGGAGGCGGGTTGAAGGCGTCCGCCGCGGGGAGGCCCCGGTCGCACCGCTGCCAACCGCCCCCGTCCCGGGAGGGGATCCTCCTGCCCCACCGAGCCTCCGCCCCGCGAACCACGAAAGGAAGCAAGCAACAAACGAAGTTACGCGCCATGCACCGCCCGGGGGGCTCCCCGTCCCGGCGCCGGGCACTCACGTCCTGGTGGTCCTCCACCACCCACACCGGCAGCGCCGAGTAGGCCCGCGGGCAGCCCCCGCGGGGCCGCGCCCCGCTGCCGGTGGCCGGGCCCCCGCCGCTCATGCCGGCCGGGCAGGGCCCAGCGCGGCCCAGCCTCCCGCCGCCGCGGCCGGGCCGCGCTTCCGCCCGCAGCGCCCTCCCACCGTTTTCCTCTTCCGGAGCCGGCGCGCTGCGGGCCGGGCCGGCGGGGCGCAAGGTGGGCTCGGCGGGCACGGTTGCCCTGCCGGGGGTCGCGGGGCGGGCGGGGGCTTCGCTCCGCCCGCGGCGCCCTGCGCGGCGCGGGGGGGCCGGGGGCCAGGGCGGGCGGCGGGGGCCGGTCCCCGGGGCGTGAGGGCGGGACGCGGCGGCGGCGCCGGTGCCGGCGGGGTCGGGGCGGCGGCGGGCGGCCTGCGGCTGAGGAGGCCTCTCGGTGCGGGGAGGCAGAGCCTGGCCGGGCGGGTCGCGGGCTCGCCGCCGGGTCTGGCTCGGTTCTGTTGCCTGCCGGCCCGTGGGGGGCCGTTAGTGGTTGGGCGAGGCCGGGTCTCGGTGCCCCTTTGCTCTCGGCTGTGTCTGCGGGGAGATAAGAGGTTTTCGGTGTTTTTGGAGGAACTTTCGAGTTACTTTTGAGGGTGACGGCCTCCACCAGCACAATAAATTTCCGTTTCTGGGTGCCGGAAAAACGAGAGTTTGTCCTTTCCAGTGCTTTTAAACTTATTTAAGTTTAAATGAAAATTGAACGTGGCCGAAGTTTGCCACAGAGGGAGCTTTCAAATAATTCAGGGCTTGAAAATAATGTCATGTATTTTTTTTGTAGCTGTGATTCTGTGCATTCTGAAGCAGTGAAACTAAGATGGTAGAACCAGAGCAATTCTTTGATGTTGGGAAAGTCTTAGAGCTCTATTTAAGAGAGAGCTGATAAACAAGACCTTTAATTAGAATGCTGTAACATCTTAAAAAGAAATGTGCTTTAAGGAAAGACACCGTGGTAGAGTGGCCTTTGCTTTAATTTGCTTAACATAATAAGAGTTTAACCTGGCCTGTTTAGTAAACTGTGTATGTAAATGTCAGCCAGGTATAAAACAGTATTCTGTTGCAAGCATGAGCTATGTAAGATCATGACAGGAGACCTAATGCAAAATTGGCTCAGCATCTAATGGATTGGTATTAATAATGACAAAAGGTTGTACTATTGCCAGACAAAATAATGGAAATGGACTTCCCCACACATGCACACTGCAAATAAGAGCTTTTACAAGGTTGGAGGGTACTGAGCAGGCACGGGCTGACTGGAAGGAGCAATTGGCTTTACCATTATGGCCGCTACCTCCCTCCTAGAAATGTGGGATTGTCACTCACTTTGGCCTTTGGCTGCTCTGGAGAGGGAATGAATGCCACTGCCACCAATTCCAGTGGCTTCCACTAAGCCCTGCATGCGTAAGGAGACACTTTAGGGTCCATTTGATTTCCCTTCTTCGATGTCAGTCCTTGCCCGCTTCATTTCTTTTCCTTTCTCCCTCCAGTTCACCAGAAGTTGTCTGCTGTCTCTCAGCAAGCTACATCTTTTGCAGCACTGGCTCCGGAATGCAGCTGAAAGCAGTGCTCTGCGCACTCCAGGGTAGCCATGTTGCATGGTAGCAGATGGGAGAATATTCTGTGGCTGTACTTCTGCATCCACAAAGCCTCAGTAAAAGGGAGGCTTTGTGTTCTTTATCTGGTGATCCTTCCAGTTATGTGTGTGTCTCCTGCCTTTCTCTCCTTTCCCCATATGGAAAATAGGATTTGACTTCTGCAACTGCTTAACTAATTTTTTTTCTCTCCATTCCAGTCAAGACACCATGAATGATTTTTTTAAATTTTATTTTAGATGTTTTTTCCAGTTTTTGAAATTTAACAGTGTAATTAAATAATGAATTTTAACTTTAATGAAGCACAGTGTTTTTAATTTATAAACATTAATACAATGCATTAAATACATGCATAGTTTTGAGCAAGACTTAGGCCTACTTGAAGCAGAGGCAATTGCTGGAACGGTAACAGGTCAAAGCAGGCAGCTGAGGGATTTTTTGGGGAATCATTTATTTAAATGAAATTGGAATAACAGCACAGTCTACATAAAAATTATTTCTGTAACATGTAAGATCCTCATTCCACAAAAATATACCTAACTTAAAATACTTTGAAGTATCTGTTGAACTCAGTCCTTTACTAAACTGAGGTCTCAATTGTGCATGTAAATTGCTACCATCTCATTTTAAATTTACATGATTTGTTGAACCAGGTAAGTTGCAATGAGGTGTTAGTAAAGCCATTCTTCGTGAAGTTTAGAATCGTGTTCTAGAAGTCTAGAAAAGACTCTTTTCATTGTGGAACTTTGGATGATAATTGCAGTTGTTAAAATGGGTAGTTTCTTTTGTGTGGGATATCTGAAGGCTTTACGTCAAAATGTCTAGTGAATACTAGCAGAAGTGTTTGTATCCTCGGCCAGTTGTCATATCAGTGATTTGTGGAAATTAGCATTGCCCTAAGTCAGAGTGTCATCCAGTTTGGATTCTGGATTAAAGACAGAGTGCTTTTGTGGATTAGAGTCTTAAAGGAATCAAAGGGACATAAATGACCTATATTAGAGGTCCAGGGAGCACAAAGCTTCTAGTGAGAGTCAGTGGACATCGTTCACTGCTTCTGTTAAAGGGAACTGCAGAAACTATAATTTCAGTGCTTTGGGAGTAATTCCTGCAAATGCATTAAGGACATCCTACAAAATTGTGTGATGCTGGACTTTTGTTTTCCTGATTAAAGGTGAGCCATGTCTTTCCATTCTGGGCGAGGATGTCCCCGTGGTCAGGGGGGACCAGGAGCAAGAACTTCAGCACAGACCTACCGCCCTCAGAACCTACGACAGCTTCACCCACAACAGCCCTCTGTACAGTACCAGTATGACCAGCAAACAGCCCCTCCAACAACCTATTCAAACCCTCCAACTACCGGTTACATGCCTCCCAGGCCAGACTTTGTGCCCTATCCTCCTCCAGTGCCCCCTTCCACGCAAAATCCCATCAGCCAGTGTCCCATGAGGCCACCATTTCCAAACCACCAGATGAGACAGAGCTTCCCAGTGCCTCCATGCTTTCCTCCTGCTCCTCCGCCAGTACCAAATCCTAGCAACACTCCCGTGCCGGGAACTCCTACCGGGCAAAGCACCTTTCCTTACATGATGCCTCCTCCCACGGTACCGCATCCTCCCCCTCCACCAGTCATACCGCAGCAAGTCAACTACCAGCCTGTGTATTCTGCAGGGTACTCACAGCAAGCGTTCCCACCACCGAACTTCAATAGCTATCAGCACAGCTCTGGCTCCTTTCAGAGCAGCACCACCAACAGCAGTGGTGGCAGCAGCCATTTTCGCCACGCAGGTCAGTACCAGGGAGAGAAGTCTCAAAGCGATAGACGGTCTCCTGACAGGAGCAAGCACTACGACGAGCACAGGCATCGGGATCACAGTCACATCCACGGTGACCGGCATCGGTCCGCTAACCATGGGGAGCGTCGGGATCGAGGCAGGAGTCCAGATAGGAGGAGACAGGAAAGCAGTCGGCACCGGACCGATTACGACAGGGGAAGGATATCGCCTCACCACAGAAGTTATGAGCGTAACAGGTAACTTGAGGTATCTTCTGCCTGCAGAGGGAGAGCTGTCATCACTGTCCCTTAGTACTTGTTTGCGTCAATGTTCTTCCCTCACCCTTGTTTTTCACTCTATCTCAGGAGGTAGGCAGTACTCAGGTCTCATGGAAAGAGCTACTGTTTTGTCATTTTTCAGGTACACTGTTTCTGCCTCCCTTTTGCGAGCTGGCAGACTTGTTGCCCGTGTTCATGGAGATAGCTGGAAGCAAAGAAGCTCTTGTTTTGAAAACTGAGTGGATTTCTGGGTAGTGCTCTACTTTCGTGGGTATTTACCATAGAAACATGCACATGTGGCATGAAAGTGGAGTTGGCACAACTTTGTGCGAAAGACTGTGTTCAAAGTTGAGCCTTACAAATGGTTAAGTCCCAGCACTTCAATTTTCAAGATTTAGGTGCTAGAGTTAGGGTTCCAGGTGTTCCTTGAATTTGGTCTTTCTTGGAGTAAGCCCTGTATTTGTAGAGAAGCAGCACTTGAAGGGGGTTTATGTTCTGATAAGAGCACATATCTAATCCCTGCAGTGAGGTGTTTTAGTGAAAAGCATGTTGCGCGGTGTTCTTCATCCTGCTCTGTCCTCATCCTCATGGGACACCAGTGCAGATGTGTGCAGACTTCCTGGGACCTCCAAGTGGGTGCTTAGACCTGCCTGTGTGATTCTGTTCAGGATGAAGACCTCAGCAAGCCAGCCTGTGATCACGAGAGAGGACGAAGGTGAAAATTAGCATACATCACTTAAAAGAAATAGGCGAGTTGTAGGCTACATTGACATAATTCAGATGAATGAGTGGACTGCTTATTTTGGGGTGTATCATGAAGTTTCTGTCCCTCTGCTTCATAAACACAGCTTGCAAATTATGAGCTGACCTGATGCAGTTTGCTGTGTGTTTTTTTTTTTTTTTTTAGAGCAAATGGTCATCAGTTAAATCTTTCAGATCTTAGACTTGTTCTCTTTGTGGCTCTTTGTGTCTAATGATCTAAGTCAGAATATTCAAAGAGATACTGTAAATTTAAGTATCTAAGTATTTGTCAGGGCACCTGGATCACATGCTCTAATTCTAGAAGCTCTGAGCTTTCTCATGTCACTTGTGAAACATGAATTTACACGTGGTGCCTGTGGAAATGAAGCCATTTTGATTTAGATACAGAGATTTGATTGCAGAACCTTAAACAGCTGTATTCCCAAAACACCAGACTTCAAGTTCAGTAAGTCTACTTTGATTTCCAGAAGAGGATTTTCCTAAAACTCTATGCAGCTGGCATTAAGGCACTGGCCTTTTCTGTATGATGAGCTTGTGGAATTTTCTACTCTTTGTAGATGACTCAAATATGTGCCATGTAATTTCACAATTCATTGTTTAGATTTTAAAGTTCGGTTTTAAGTTTTGAAAATGCATGTTCTCACTAGCATTTTTCTCAGACGTTCGTTGATTACTGCTTGAGGCCAACGGCTTCCAGGTCTACTTGACAATCTATCTGCTTATTTTAATGAGAACTGTTTGCCAGTCTTGGTGTATTTTTTGCACAGCGTCCATTTCTCAGGCAAATCAGATGGCATAGAATATGCTCTCTCTGAAGACTGAAATCCATGCTTGAACAAGGCATGGGCAGAGAAGGATGAAAGGGTGTGGAGAAGAACAATAGATAATTTATGTGAACTTTCTGCTTTGTAAATGTGCATTCTATTTCATGTTTTGCATATAGAAACATACATCTATATGCTCATAAATAATCTTGACTCATTCTGTTAGCCCACCAAACCACCTGAGGCACATATTTATAATTCCATGTGTATCAGCAGATTCATTTACTAGGAGATTTGACAGATACACAAATGACTGTGGACTAATGAATTATCAGCTGTTAGCGGAGTGTGAAAAGTGCCTGTGTGATCTTTGCTGCCTTGTGTACACAGTAACTTCATAGAATCATTTAGGTTGGAAAAGACCCTTAAGATCATTGAGTGTAACCTAACAGCCAACTCCACCACTAAACCATGTCCCTAAGCACCACATCTACATGTCTTTTAAATACCTCCAGGGATGGTGAGTCAACCACTTCCATGAGCAGCCTATTCCAGTGCTCAGTAACTCTGTGGGTGAAGAAATTTTTTGTAATACCTGATCTAAATCTCACCAATCTTACCAGGTGCAACTTGAGGCCATTTCCTTTTGTCCTATCACTTGCTACTTGTGAGGAGGCGCAGACACCCACCTCTCTACAACCTCCTTTCAGGTAGTTGTAGAGAGCAATAAGGTGTCCCTTGAGCCTCCTTTCTCCAGGCTAAACAACCCAGTTCCCTCAGCTGTTCCTTATAAGACTTGTGCTCCAGGCCTTTCACCAGCTTCATTGCTCTTTGGGCACACTCCAGCACCTCAACGTCTCTATTGTAGTGATGAATCCAGATCTGAACACAGTATTTGAGGTGTGGCCTCACCAGGGCTGAGTACAGGGGGAGAATCACTTCCCTGGTCCTGCTGGCCACACTTTCTGACACAAGCCAGGATGCCATTGGCCTTCTTGGCCACACTGCTGGGTCGTGTTCAGCTGGCTGTTGACTAACACCCCCAGGTCCTTTTCTGCTGGGCAACTTTCCAGCCACTGTTCCCCAAGCCTTCAGTTAATTTAAAGCTATTTTACCCCAGTAATCGTTTGAGTGGTCAGGTTCATTATGTGTATGTGCAGGTTGAGTCTTGTAGATGATAATCAGCATGATGCAGATTTTCTGTGTCTATCAGGTTTTTGTGGGTGGTTCAGGTGGCTGTCCAGAAGAGAGGACTTGCCTGAAACACTTGAATGTCTTCTGTGCTTACAAAGCTGTTGTGCATGGAATAGGTTTTTTCCTTTGAGGAACTAAGAATTGTTAAAGATACTATAATCTTACCCTTTGCCATTCATAACAGGAGAAGAGGAAGAATGGCAGCAAGTCCCATGGTGAATTTGTAGAATTTACTTCTGTATGGTATGAATTAACTGTCGTATTGAGATAGATGACTGTCTTTTACAAGTTTCTTGAAGGTCAGCATTAAGAATGTCTGGGTTTCTAGCAGTCAGCATGTGTGTATCTTTTTACATTACATGATCTCAGCCTGCTTCTGTGTTCCTTTCAGGTTTGGAATATATGAAATGCCAGATTTCTCATTTAATTTATGTTTTGAACTCTCCAAGGGAGCGGGAAAGGGAGAGGCATAGGCACCGTGACAGCAGAAGATCACCATCACCAGACAGATCCTACAAAAAAGATTACAAGAGGGCAGGAAGGTAAGGAAGGTTACATTTGGTCTCTTGTGCATTTTGGGCTCTGTGCATCCACACATGGGTGTTTTTGTGTATGTATATGTGCCTGGTTTGAAACTCAGAAAAGATGAGTGTCTTAAATTTATAACCATCTGCTTATACATGCAAATGACAGTTATCTCAAAGCGTTGTAGATTTAGAAACAGGATTAATCTTTGGAGAGAGGGCTTCATTGCTGTGTCCTAAAGACTTCCTCTTATATCTGCTTCCAGTCTGTAGAGTACCAAGATTATTTAATGTCACTCTATGTTTAGATCATCCTTTGGGAACTTTTTTTGTATTGATGCTCCTTTCCTTCTGAATTCTGGATAGTTGAAACCAGTGCAACATTATTGGCTTTGTAGCCAGAGGATATTAAAAAAAAAAAAAAGTAGTTTTCCTACATTCATCTTTTGAAAATATTACTCTTGCAATACATAAATATCACAGATGTGTTGTTCAAAGGAGTACCAGAGTTAGAGTAACACAAGCAGTGTGGCTTCTGTATAATCCTTCTAATAAAACCCTAATTCTTTTCTCATGCAGATAGTTTGTGGACTATGTATTAAAACCTCTTTGTGTTGTAACTTTTGGTTGTGAGTGATGTGACTTCTAATTTTCAGCAATGAGTTTCCAACTTCGGAACTAAATTAAAGGAAGGTGACCTAGAATGCAAATAGGAATTTTCATCTAAAAGAACGCATATTTTTTCATTCTAATTCTTGAATAGGGTTTAAAATACAAAAACACTTTCAATTTTAAGTCATTTTTTGTAGTAGGTCAGAACTACAAAGTACGCTACTCTTTATGTTGCAAGTTAAAAGCAGGAAGAGGCAATTGGATTTTGCTGTAATTTATGTGATAGAATGATGTACTGATCTGAAGCAAAGTATTTGTTTTTCATTATAAAAGAGTCACTGTTAAAATAATAAAGAGAATTGCTTTTTTTTGCTTTCTCCCACTAAGCCGGTCTCCAAGCAGAGAGAGAAAGAGACCCAGGTGGGAGGAGGACAGAGAAAGGTGGTCAGAGAACCAGAGCTCCAGCAAAGAGAAAAATTATACTGCTATCAAAGACAAAGAATCAGAGGAGAATGCATCTGAAAAAAATGAAGAGGAAGATGAGGAATTACTTAAGCCAGTCTGGGTTCGCTGTACCCATTCTGAAAGCTATTATTCCAATGATCCTATGGATCAAGTGGTATGTTTGTTAGAGAACTCTCAAATTCCTTTATTGATTATTTGATTACGTGATTAATAAGAACCCTTCAGCAGGATTATGTTTTGTGTCATTTAATCCTTCTCCCAGCCATCTCAGTCTTTCAACCCTGTTAAGGGATTTATTGGTGTTCTTTATTTTCACCATCTTCTTCCGTCTGCATTCAGATTAGTGGTACATGGAAGAGGGAGGGGTCCTTTTTTTCTGTCCAGGAGGGAAGGGTGTTTTTTCCATTATATCTGTATTTGAGCAAAGATGCCTCAAGCACCATATATTCCCACAGCCTTGGAGAAATTTTGTACAGAGCAGGGAGTTAGGATTCTTTGTACTTAATAGTAACACTTGCTGGAGGAGGAGTGATGGGGGGGAGCTTTCTGAGGTTTTTTGTGTTTGTAGTTAGTTGTGGGGTTTTTTTGAGAGTGATGTGGAAAGTGAATTCATGGTGATTCAAAGCAGGCAACAAAATGAGCTGGGTTTTGTGTTTCTTGTGTGTGATAAAATTCTTTTTAATCGCAGAATGCTTTCACAGGCTTCCTGTTTCTTCTAAACCTGTTAAAAATCAATGCTGAGCTGTAGTGAATATAGTTAGACATAGTTCTGCTTTGTTAGGCCAAAGATTTGATGATAAAGCAGATGAAGTAATTTCGCTGCTAATTCACCTGGTGGAGCAATGTAATGGTATGCTGAAGCCTTAACAGGTATTTCCATGTTTCACTGAACCACATAGATCTGTCTTCTCCCACTCTTGCTTTTCATTGTGAAACACTGGTACATATTGTGTTCATGCACTATTTCAACACTGTTTTTTTTGTTTTTTTTTTTTTTAATTGTTGTTCTGTTTTTTAATTAACAGGGGGACTCTACTGTGGTAGGAACAAGCAAACTCCGAGATCTGTACGAAAAGTTTGATGAGGAGTTAGGAAAGCGACAGGCAAAGGCCAAAGCAGCCAGGCCACCATGGGAGCCACCAAAGACCAAGCTGGATGAAGATTTAGGTAGGTGGAAATGATGACAAAGCTCTGAAATGAGCAATCTGTACTTAATCTGCTTTTGGCAGCTTTGTGTATTTAATGATGTTGGTAGGTTAATCTGTGTTTTTTTTTTTTTTTTTTAATTCTTCCTTTATATTGCATATCCATGAGCGTTTTACTGTTGCTTTTGACTTAAGTAGAGATAGATTCTTTACCCAGAAAGCCTAAAGGAAGATGGTGAGTATCCAGCACTGCTTTATGCTAAAGTCTTCCATGCCATGAAAGTACCCTGAGCATGAACAGACAGGCCAAAGTATGGCACACAAGAGGCTTTGAGGAGCTTCTGGCCTTGTATTTCTAAAAAGGAAAGGAAGCAAGAGTAATGATGATAAACTCATATGGCTGCTTGTTATGGCACTGAGTTCATCTTTCTTCTGGAGTGTATTTTTGTTGTGCAGTCCTCCTTATGCAGGAGTATCTGTTTTCAAAACGTAGTTTAATCTGCGTTGTCATGCACCACCCATATGGATCTTCTTGCAGTGAAATAAATCTACTAGCTATATCAGTTATTGGGGAAATACTGACTGAATTAGCAGAGCATGCTTTTTGATAGCAATTTGCCTACTGAGAAGCCAGTGAAAGCTATATAGCTTTTTCTTTGTTTTGTGAGAACTGTTAACTGTTCCTTTTATGCTTCCAGCATTTCAGTACTTCATAGTGTGTTTTTCAGTCAGTTGCATTAGTTCAAGAAATTTGTAGGCATATCACGTTAATTTAGATACTCTGTTGGGCTTGCTTTTTAACAGATACTTTGTTTGCCCATTTTGCTGCTTCAGACTTTCATATCTGAGCTTAGTAACTTTTGAAAATCACGTATCAAAAATTCTGAAGTTGAAATACAGGTATATAATGACATGGTCAGTTACATGCTGACAGTATAATAATATACAATAAAGATGAAAAGAAAAAATAAACACAGATTAAATGAAATGAGAATTCACTTTTGTAAAGGAAACATCTGTTTTACTTTTTGTGAAGTGTATTTGCATATATTTAAATTCACTCAAGAATCACTAGCAAAGTTAACTGTAGGGTTTTTCAGGAGGTATATTTTCATGTGGATGAAGTAAGGGCAAAACTGCTACATTCAACATGCCTGTGTAAAGCTTCACTTCTTCACATCTCTGCAGAACGAGTTCCTTTGCTGCTCCATGCTAAAATATGATAGTTGCCAAGAACAACTTATCTGTTTCTTTTTCCACTCTTTCTTGAGGACCCAAAGGTTCTGCATCTGAACTGGTCCCGTGGGCTGACTTGGTGTCTGTGCCAGCTTCTATAGTGTCTAATAGTTTGTCTTATTTTGCACTTAAGTGCTTTCTCTGTTCTGCCTTGTGTTAGCAGTAATTGTGTATTGTAGTGAGATAGTAGTGCACTCCAAGAGTTTTTTGCATGAAATCCAAAAGTTTTGCATTGGTCTTTCAGGACTCCAGCTTACTCTCACAGGTCCCACACTCATTTTGCACCTAAAATTACTTACACAACTAATGTTTAGGAATATAAATGTATGCACATTTAGACAATCCTGGATTTCAACTGAGCATATATGAACAATGTAAACCATATGTCACAAGGATGTATTTTTGTAACACCTTATGCTGAATTATAGACTGTATCAAATTAGATCTTGATATAAAAAAAAAAAAAGGGAAACATATTTTACTAGTAATATTCTCTATTTTTTTTCTCTCTCCTCCTTTTTCTTTTAACTAAGGAGAATTGAGTCTTGTATTCAATAAATACACATATTTTAAACCATAGTATCACAGTATTTCAAAGTACTGGCAGTGTAGTAATGTTTTCTCTTAAGTCAAAACTTAGAAATGGAGGAAATGTTGCATCCCTTCATCCAAGAATAATAAACCTTACTTGCATTGTGGTATATGTCTTGGTTATGAAGGCATTTATTTAAGTTGGAGCTGAGGAGATCTGTGGAAATGAATGACATTACATGCATAAGAAAGGGAGTGGCTTTTATGTACCACAGGAAATTTAGAGATATGTGAGATTTGGCTTTTTTTTTTTGTGAGGGGTGTTTGTTCGGATTTTTTTGTACTTAAATCCAGACACTTATTAACATTACTTTGACAACACCAGAAAGAAGACAATTTAACAAGTCTAAGACCATCTTCTATTCTTTTTTTTTTTAACTTTAGCATTGTTCTTCCCTCTGATAAATCAGAAAAATTGTTTCAGACAAATAAAAATGTCTTTTTTAAAAAAAAAAAAAAAAGGAAAACTTGCAGGACAGAGCTTCCAAAAAATTTATACCTGGATTCACTCAACTAGTAGTTCCAGCTTTTCTTCTTGTATGTGGTTTCTAATATGTGATAATGGATTTATTAGAAATAATTGATTTTGAAAAGTGAGTCTAACAATACATGTTGTATAATAATTCTATACATATGTGCTGTTTCAAAACTCTTAAATAGACAATATCCTGCTGCAGACAGGAGCATTTTTAGGTAAAATGAAACTAGGCATAAGCACTTTGTTCATTGCTCTTGCTAGTGACCTGATGTGTATTCCTTTTCTCTCTCATTTTAGGTTGTGGGTTTTTTTTTGTTTTTTTTTTTTTTTTTTTAAAAAAACAACAAAACTTTATGGTAATACTTGTGTTGGTTATAGCTCTATAATTTTTATTGTCAGGTAACTGAAATTGTTCTTCTACAGCTGATCAGTGGTGCTGCTGGACAGCCAGACAGCAATCTCTCGTGAATGCAAATTGATGCATTTGTGTTGTGGTTTAGCCCCAGCCAGCAGCTAAGCACCACGCAGCCACTCGCTCGCTCCCTCTCACCCCTGCCATGATGGAGTGGGGGGGGGGATAATCACAACCAAGTAAAACTTGTGGGTTGAGATAAGAACAGTCGAATAATTAAAATAAAAATTAAATATAATAGTAATAATAATAGTAATTAAAAAGAAGATAACAAAAAGAGTGAAATAAACCCCAAGGAAGACAAGCAATATACAATGCAATTGCTCACCACCCACTGACCAATGCTCAGCCCAGTCCCTGAGCAGCGATCCAGCCCCCCAGCTAACACACCCCTAGTTTATATACTGGTCGTGACATCATATGGTATGGAATAGTCCTTTGGCCAGTTTGGGTCAGCTGTCCTGGCTGTGTCCCCTCCCAATTTCTTGTGCCCTTCCAGCTTTCTTGCTGCAGAGCATGAGAAGCTGAAAAATCCTTGACTTAATATATTATCAACAACTAAGAACATCAGTTTGTTATTAACATTATTCTCATACTAAATCCAAGACACAACATTATACCAGCTACTAGGAGGAAAATTAACTCTATCCTAGCTGAAACCAGGATAAGTTGTTATAGGCATCTAATATCCATAGCATTTGCTGTCATTTTTAAATTTAACTGCGTTTAAAAATCCAGTTGCTGCTGTTCTTTTTGTTGGTGTAAATGTCGTGCACAACTTCAGTAACTTTGAATATGCACAGTTAGCGATGTCACACTAGAGAATGCATTGCGATTGGAGAAAAGTGTGTGGAAGTGTTTTTCAGCTGATTTTATTTTTCCTGTGTGAATCAGAGAGCTCCAGTGACTCAGACTGTGACTCTGAAGATGACAGCAGCTGCTCTAGCAGTTCAGATTCAGATGTTTTTGACGTCATTGCAGAAATTAAGCGTAAAAAAGCACACCCTGATCGTCTTCATGAAGAACTGTGGTACAATGATCCAGGACAGGTATGGTGAGAGGAAAAAGTACTATGTGTCTGAAAGTCGTTTGCACTTGTAGACCGTAAATTCTGCGTTGTTGTCAGATATGCTGAGTGACACCTATTTCAATATGCATTTTTTACCTCCGTTTTCCATTTTCTCTCTCATCTTCTTCAAAGCACTTCACTTTTTATTTCAAGAGTGTGGTTCCAGCTCATGAATCCTGGGGATTATTCAGCTGGAGTCATGTCTGACAGTGTTAATAAAACCTGAATTGCTAACAGTGTACTAATGCTGTCCTCTTAGCCATGAGATAAAGGTACACAGATGAATTCTGGGATGCAGAAAAGGCAACATGTTTACCTTCTTTACAAACTTTTCACCTAAAAGCTGTCAGCTCATTTATTTATAATGTTTTAAATATGCAGTTAATGCTCCTAATTTCTTGTCTAATGATTCTTTTGTAATTGCATGGAGATTATAGTTCTCATTAGATGTAATTGCTGCGCTCATGAAGTGTTGTTTTGAATGTATACATTGCACAGAAGACTAGTTTTTGTTTGCAAATTTGCCATCTTCATCTTTCTTACTTGAATATTTTACAGTCTAACTCATTGTCAAATGGCACCTCAGTAAATTTATTTTTCTGGCACTTTGATGCATGAGTTTAGCATGCAACAAATCATAATGCGAAGAGATACTGCAAAGCTTATTGCCACTGTGGTAATTCAAAGGTCTGTTGAATATTCTATTACAGACTCATATTTATGCTTCTAGTTAAGAAAAAAAATAATCATTTGACTGAGCATAGCTAGCTGTTTTTATTTGCGTGGAAAATAAAATTAGCAAACTGTTTAGATATTTAACTGAAAAAATTGTGTAGCTCTTGGGCACACTTCAAAGTAATGTTCTAGGCCAGAATATTAGCTAAATAAAAATAAGTGGAATAACTTTAGGATTAATAGATTCAGGAAGGTGTGGTTTATGAGTTCCTGCTGAAAACCTTTCTTTCCCAAAAAATTTCTTGAGGCTTTTCTTTGTTCACTTGAGACTGGGTCCCATCCCAGTACAAACTGGATCCCATGGCCTGTTATCAGCACAGACTGGGTCCTGTCCCAGTAGAAACTGTAACCCCTGGCTCCATTCCCAATACAGTGCCCAGTCCCACTAAGAAATGGATCCCCTGGCCCCCTCCCAGTACGGACTGGACTTTGTCTCGATATAAATGGGATTCCCTGGCTCTGCCTCAGTACACACTTGGCCCTGTCCCAGTACATGCTGGCAGCTGTATCCCAGAGCACCTGAGGCTGAACGGTGGGGAGCGTGCTGATGTTTGGTTTGGTGTTAGGTAGCCCTGCAAGGAGCAGGGAGTTAGGCTCGATGAGCCTTATGGGTCCCTTCCAACTGGAGATCTTTGATTCTAAGGGGCTGAAATCTGATCATGGCAAGCTTGTCAGTGCTGTACTACTGTTGAGTAGAATTTATTTGAAAACATTTGAAGTTTTTCTGGGTATTTATCTGGTATGCCAAAATGCTTTCTAACTATCACTGCATAAAACAGGAATGATTGCCGTGCACGCTGGCATGTACAAGTACACCATCTGACACAGAACTAGATTTTTAGGATGGATCTTCCCAACCCTTCCACCTGAGCGGTGTGTTTGTTACTCTGGGTAATCTCCAGCAATGCTGGCAGCTGCCAGAAAATAAAATGTTAAAGCTCATGCTACCACAGTGGCCTTTTCCTTACAAGTGTTAACTGCTTGTTTGTGTTGCCCTGTTGGTCAGAGAAAGTTAGAAGCCATTGCCTAGGTAAAATTATGATCTTTCAACATCATTTTATATCACTTCATAATTTCTCTTCTGCAATTTTTAGCATGAGTGGTGTCATTAGGGACAAAACGGGTGTATATATCTGACTTGCTTTTCAGGTCCTGGGCTTTACAGGTACTTCACATCTCTCGGTTTTGGTCTGTGCATTTAATGTAACAGAGGCAGTATTAGTGCTGAACAGAGCTAAGAATCAAGTATGAGATTTCAAAAAGAAGTGGTTATTTTTTTAATAGCCTCAGTAGGCCCTTATTTTTGAGAGTGATGAGCAATTTGCTATTGACTGCTTTTTTTTAAACTCTCTTCTGTTTTGTGGCTGTATAAACCAGGGAGGAAGTATGTTTTTACCTACAAGCATGATTCAGTTTAATTGAGCCTGTACTTTCTTCAAGGGTCTCCGACTATGGAAAAAAAATGCATGAACAAAACACTGTCATGTCACTTGTTAAGATTGCACGACTAAGTTTGCAAAGGAGAAGTGCCCAACTTCTTATGTTCCTTTGCATGTATGTATTCTGCCAGTCTGAAGAAATTAAATTGAGATGAACATTCAGAGAATTAACATCAAAACTAAAAAGTTGCATCTTTCTCTCCATTAACAGCAGTTTGGTGGTTCTTGCCTCCTAAGGTTATCTTCACATTATATCTATTGTGTAATGATGCTATCGAGCCCCACCACGGATGCTGTTAGCATTTTCAAACTGCTTATAGTGTCACAGAACATTCTGCTGGTTTTTGTATTGCATTGCAAGCTTGTTGAGGTTTTTCTAAGTTAAAAGAAATCTTTCAGTTCTTGGATTCAAACTTTGAAAAACTCTATGAGAGTCTGGAGTCGGGAACTTAATTTGTTTCTCTGGTTTGGTTTTGGGTATTTTTTTGTTGGACTTCTGCAACGGGCATAATGTTAAGAGCAGAAAACTTCAGGGTATTGCAGTAATTGATAGTCTGCACTGAACCTGGTCATAAAAGTGAAAAGACAGACACTAGCTTTATAATGTGTGCAGCGGCCCTTTTTGGTATAGCTACTTGATGCACCCATACAGAACGCTAAAGTTGATATTATTCCTCCCTTCCTCTTTTTTACTGATCTGTTCACGAGTTGGATTTGAGGTGTTCCCATTAGTTCTTTAAAATACCAGGTAAAATCTTCAAATGGTCTGCTTTGCATACTTCAGGTGATAGCCTTGCCACATGGCAGAGGGGTTAGTCAGGGATGAGATTTCCATCACTGGAACTGTTTGAATGTGGAGATTTCAGCATGTATATATTTGCAAATGCATGTTTAGGGCCTGAATTTTGTTTTATGTAGACAGCATGTTTGTATAAGTAATGGAAAAGATGTATGTGATAGTAGAGTGGTACAGTTCTGCTGCGAGCATTTTTCCATCTTGTGCTTCTGAAACAGTGATGAAGTTCTAATGCTATTGTGCAGTTTTCTTACATTAGCCTATACTGTTTTCAGTTTTATTGGCTTAAGAACATCTACTTAATCTAAGCATGACAGGCTTTTAGAAGCCTCAGCACTCTAAGCATTAAAACCAACATACTTTTTTTCAAAAACATTTTTCAATAAAAACAGAATCCTGTTTTGTTTTTGACAGATGAATGATGGACCTTTGTGCAAGTGCAGTGCTAAAGCCCGACGAACGGGAATAAGACATGGCATTTATCCTGGCGAAGAGGTAAGTAATTCTAAGAATTGCAATTATGAATACAAACTTGCTGCTGTAAACTCGTACTTGGGTTGATTTGAGTTTATTTTTCCATGATTTACAGGCTGAGTAAAAACACCTGTGTGACTTCAAATCAGTTAGTTGTGTAACCTCATATTTAAAACATAATGCTGGCAATGAAATTCACCTCAGAACTATGGAAAACTTTTGCCTGCATTTGTTTAATTCTAGGGTGTGGTTTTTTTAAAAGTTTCTGAAACAGAATTACATTAATAAAAAAGAACTTGTGATCTAAGATCTACTATCTTCAAGTGTATGAGTATGTTACAAGGGCCCTCTTTGTGAAGGGATTGCTTTAAAAGTAAGAGGAAGAGTAAATAAAATAGTAATTCTGCTAATAGGGTCAGGAAGCTTGTCAGGAGGTGTTCTTGCCTTAGCACTAGAGCATGTCTGCACTGCAAACTGTCAGTCAGTTTATTAATGAATATCAGTTCTTTATGAATATGTGATTAGAAAAAATTACTCCATCAGCTTCCTGAAACACATTTTAGAATGGTAGTGTCTTTCTTTTGAAGAATGTTGAAATAGTGTTTGGTTATTTTCCTTAGAAATATTCACTTATAAATAGCATGCTTTGTGATCAATAATGTTTCTGGAAATAAAAACAGTGCTTGGACGACCTCAAGCTTTTTCATTCTAAAAAACTTTGTTCTTGTGAAAGAATTGGAGAACATGAATATGTAGGTCTTACAATTTACCTTTGTAATTTTTCTTGAAAAATTTTATTATATGCCTTTTTACCTATATTGAAACATTCTTGTATTTCTCTGCAGTTAAGGATTTAAGGTTCCTGTGGACTATTCCAGTTCAGAAAAATGGCTTTGGTCTGAAGTTTACTATAAATTGCTTCAGTTCAGGATCAATTCCTCCCCACATTGTCTCTAGTGCTTTTCTTGCAGAGAAGGAGAGAGAAAATTTTGGAGGAGAAAAATGATGTGTAAAACTTGCTGCATGAGGGCAGCTGTGTTCCATGGAACAAGGACAGCTGGAAATTTGAGCTTTCAGAAAATCTCCTAAGATATACTTGTTTTTACAGTGTCCTGTAGGTAAAACTGCTTAACTTTAAACTAACTGGTTTGTAACTGTCTCATCACAGTAGTGAGAAGCTTAATTTGGAGCTGAACAGCCGGAGTAATTACCCTACTTATTGGATGGGTTTTGCAAAGTGCACAGAGTGGTGTTGCCATTGCAATCAGGCCAACTTTTGTAATGCTGTTTAGAGTAGTACCCTGCTCAGTGTGGTGATTTTTGTTTTTTTTTCCAAGCAGTCAAATGTAATCCAAACAGGCTGGTGGCAGCCTTTGAACTGCAGCAAATTGGATGTAGGGCATATGAGAAACTGGTTTTGTCTGAATCTTGAGGATTTGTAGGTCTTTAAACTGGACTGCTTCAGAATAAGCTGGAAGCAAACGTGAATCCCAGGTGTTTGGTGTTGCACCAGAGTACACGGAGGGCTGGCTGCCTTTGGACCTCACGCGTGGGTGTTACAACCTGACAGACAGAGCAGGGTTAGCAGAGCTGCCTCTGTGGTCATAGACTAATCCCTTCTCCTCCACCCCCAGATTTGCCCCAAACAGATGATCTAATAACTGTCTGTTTTGATAACCTATTTTGAGATCTTCTCATGGTAGGTCCAGGTTTCTTTTTGTAAGCTTTTAAAATCAGTTTCCCAAAACAAATTTATATAAAAGAGGAAATTTAGTCTGGTATGTAAACAACTAACTGCTGTCTATAAGAAAGATAGAGTCAAATGGAAAACCAAAAAAACTGCAGCAATGTTTTTCACCTTTTTTCTCCTTCTGAATAGCTTTAAAAATATTTGTGAGAGTGAGAATGTAGATAAGGCCAAACATTCTTTCTTCCCAGAATGCTTAATTACGACTACCTGCCTTTATTTAATTTTTCCTAGTGCATATTTCATGGCTATTAGAAATACTTTATTCTCTCTTTTAATCTAAATTTGCCTTGACTCTACACATAATTGTACTTATCTCTTTCTTTAAGCCCATTAAACCATGTCGCCCCATGACCAACAATGCTGGAAGACTGTACCACTATCGAATTACAGTGTCACCTCCCACAAACTTCTTAGTAAGTATTTTATAAATAATTCTAACTAGGACTCTAATTTTGTTTTCAGTGATGGAAGTAGTACTGCTTTTTGCTTACTCTGTGGTGGTCTTATTTGCTTTTTTAAGACAGACCGACCTACTGTTATTGAGTATGATGACCATGAATATATCTTTGAAGGGTTCTCAATGTTTGCACATGCCCCACTAACAAACGTAAGTACATTCAGTACTACATGGATGGGATTTGTTTGGAACGTAAGCTGTTTCTGCCTTGAAGTAGAACTTCTCTAAAACAATGTTACATGTATGTTACATCTTGTCAACATCAGGGACAGAGGAGAGACATTTGTGCTAATGAGTCTCAGGTTTTGTCTTGGCTAATAGTGGTAAGTATTGTCTTCAAACTGTTACTGAGACTGTGATGTGCATCAAAGTAATGTTTTTACATGTTTCACAGTTTGGAAGTGAAATCATGGAATAACTTGTTAAAGCAGCTAATTGGATTTAAATTGTATGAGGAGGTTTGTTAAGTTGGAAAAGTTTTAAAAAAAACCAGCAGCAACAACAAAAAAGGCTTTTCCCTTTGTGTGACAAATGGACTTTTTTCAGAGATCCACTCTAAAGGGATTTCTCTCTTCTAAAAACTCAGCAGTTACAGTACCAACCACATGTTCCTTTGCTATGTATTTGCTTGTATATATACAACTCTAATTCATGGAGATTTTGGTCATGGTCACTTCTCTAAAGCATTCATTTTCTATTCAGTACAAAGAAAAATACCCCAGGCTACTGAGCTTCTGAATCAGAATATCCTCTTCTGGTTTAACTTACATGTTAGAAAGTAAGAAAATACTCCCTGTATTTTTTTTTTTTTTTTTTTGAAAAAGCCACGCTGATTTATGTGACAGGTTTTGCTCTCCTCAGATTCTAAATGGGACATTTGACTTCCAAGCTTTTGTATTTTTGTATTCACGTTTAATATGGTATCAAACTGTAGGAAATACTATTTTTTCTTTGGTTGGTGTAGCTTGTTAGTTTATCATACAGATATCAACAGATTTTTGTAGACAAAATAGTCAAATGTTTGACAGTGGGCTGCAAGAACGTGCAAGCAGAATATTGCATATCTGCTAAATCCATTGATTCAGTGCCACCCCAGTACTCTTCAGATATTTATTTGTGTGATTATCAATGCAAAATAACCTTGGGTTGCCTCATTTTCACAAACCATTGAATTGTTATACAATTCTTTTATGCTTGCAAGGACAGTGAATAGCAAAACTTGCTAAGAGCTGTAGATGTGTAGGGTAGGATTAGGCATTTCTGTAGTCTTTTAGAAATTTAACTTTTTTTCTTTAAAAAAATCCTATTTAAAAAAAAAAAACCAAAAAAACAGACACCTTCAGCAGTCCATAGACTTTGCAAACAAAGCAATCTTTTTTCAGAGGTGAAAAAAAGGAATTAGACCTTTGTCTTACTAGTTAGTTGAGTGAACTTCTGAGAATATTTACTGGATGAAATTAGTATTAACCTATACATTTATCCTGAAGTTCTTACATTGTGTTGCTATGACTTAGAGCCATATTTTAAGACAGTATAGCTAACAGAATTGTCAGTGCGCTAAAAACACCCTGCCTTCAGGTCATTGTATCAATCTGACATGTTGTGTCACCAACAATAAATTAATTTTCAGATATAAAGTGAGAGAAGTGCGTTTACTGAGCTTTGCTTTTTCTTCTAAAGAAAATTTCATCTCCAGTAGATGGCATTATTTAATCTTCCTTTACCATCCCTCCTGTCAGCCCTGTTATTACAGAGGTGAAGGTTAGAACTGTTACTTCTCATGCACATGCTTGTGTTCCTGTCTGCATGATCCCTCAGAGCAGCTGTTTTAGTAAGTGTCCTTTTCAGCAGACAGTAATACCTTTTCATACAAAATTGTATTAAATATACATTTGATACTGCATAGTTTTTCATGCTGAATTTCTATTTTCCTTCCAGATTCCGCTATGTAAAGTAATCAGATTTAACATTGACTATACAATTCATTTCATTGAGGAGATGATGCCAGAGGTAAGAAGGATAATTAGTCAAAAAGTCAGAGTGAGTTATGAGTTGTTGATATGCTTAATGGATTAAACTCTTCAGAATCCCATCTTGTGAAGTCTCTAAGAGACAAGCTGTGTTCTGAATGAATGGCTGAAAAGGAACTTGCACTCACAGGTACTAGCATAAATCCATCTACCTAGGCTATTGTATGCTAAAATCAAATAGTAAGAAGTGCTTATATGCATAGCTTGTTTTCATTTTAAGTTATATGCAATATATGTCAGGTACTCTAATCTGTAAGAAGACTTAGGCATTATCTTCTTTTATGGATGACAAAAATAAGGCATGTGGAGGTGCAGGTTTGCCAGGACCACATAAGTCAATAGCAGAGCTGAAACTTAATCATGAGTTTGAAGTTTTGAAGATTGCTTATCAGTACTTAATATAAGCTGTTGCCAAAACAAATTTCCGGTGGATACAAACAAAGCAAATTCAGTTCATAATCTTTTTTTTTATTACAAATTAATCCCTGGTAAAGCCAGCTTGTGAAGTAAATTGCTGCAGTGGAACAGCATGTGTAGGTGCAGAAACATCTCTGCATATTAACTACAAAGATAGGATCAGTGTTTAATTTAGTCACATATATTTACATTTTTCTTTCTAGTTATCTCTTTTTGTTGCTCAACAGCATCTAAATATATGCAAGAAACCTGAAATTCCTCAGCAAGATTTAATGTGATGAAAGTGATTAATTTCTTGTTACAGAATCTGCTATTTTGTCTTCAAATCTTGCTCTAAACCAACAAATGGCCACCAAGCAAAGTAGAGAATTTGACATTTTTTTGGAATCCTGGTCAATTGGCTACATCGCTATTTGCAGACTGTCTTTACTAGTGCATTCTTGCAAAGAGATTGTGTTGCTGGGTTTGGAATTTATGTCTGGTATCGCACACATATGATTTATATCAACCTGGCCTGATTTTGTTCATTAAGGAAGGCTTTATTAAGTTCCTTCAGTTCTGAATGAAAGCTCTTTGCATTGGTGGAGCTGCTTCCCCCATTTGATGAGAAGAATCTCTTTTTTTTTTTTTTTTTTTTTTCCCCTTTTTTTCTTCTCTCTTTTACTGCTGGCTCGAGGTCAAACTCCTCAGTTTGCTTTGTACTGATATGTTGCTATGGAAGTGATCATGATATCACAGATGGTGATCTATAAACTGTTAATATGGACAGGTAGGAAGTGAATTATGAAAAAGATGCTTCTCAGAAATACGTGATCTGCTTAGCTTACTCAGGTGAAGGGGTTTTAGTGCATGGCAAATTACTGCAAATTCCTAATTTCTGCCTGTAGTCTTAATTTGGACATTGACTAAAGAGTCTTCATTACAATACTTTCTTGGAAATGTGTTCTGAAGAGATCACTGTGTTGTCACAGTAGATGATTATAGATATATTAATATTGTTTCCAAAGCCCAGTGTCTTGCAGTTGGAAAATATGATGACACTGTTTTTTTCATTATTTTATTTAAATATGAGTGCCATTATTTGTATTATAGTATTATATAATTCTGGTTTATTTTTTTCTTTCCCCAGAATTTTTGTGTGAGAGGTCTTGAGCTGTTCTCTTCATATCTATTCAAAGATATTTTAGAGCTCTACGACTGGAATCTTAAAGGTACCTTTTATTTATGGGAAAAAAAAAACATACAAAACCCCAATTAATTGCAGATTTTTGTAAACAGGATGCTATTTTGTTACATTCTTTGATTTAAAAATAAAAAAGTGGGGAGGAACCTCAAAACAACAAAGTCAAATGTTGGTTTATGTTAGAGGGACAAACTTCCACTTTGTTCCTCAAGAAGTTGAAATATGTTAGAGTTCATTAGTATGGGCTGTAGCAGTTAAAATGCACTAACTTGGCACTGTATTCTTGCAGATAAAATAATTTTCTTCCTTAATCCAAAACTGTTATTTTTAATCAAACAGTGAATATTATTGTATGTTTAATGTGGCACTGTATAGTGCGCATGGTATTTTGAAAGCCAAGATGTTAGGTAAACTATTCTCTCTGTTTTTACAAGCTAACAAACAGGTTACTCATACAATATTTCTCTACAGTCAACTTACAAAGCAGTGTCATACAGACAGCCATAGAGGGATAATATATCATTATAGCTGAATGTTTTTGACTTGACAAGATGAAAATGTATGTTTCTGTGAAGACTGCAACAAAGGAGAATTTCAGGGATGATCCTACCCTTGACCTAAAAGAAAGCTGAGAATATCAGAGGAATTTCATTTCAGAATCTGTAGGTGTGTTTTGGTGTCTTGATTTTGTCTATGAAGATGCACTCTGCATTTACTGCAGCTAAATAGAGAAGCATACAAGTTTCGTACATTTTGTGTAGTCTTCTTTGGTTTGATACTAAATGCGTTCTAATATGTTATCTTTCATATCACTGGTTCTTATCTTTCTTTTTTAACAGCAGGTGCTTACTGGTTTTGTTTTTATTTTAATGCAAAGGTTTGGATGATGAAATAGGAAATTAAAAAAGTCCACAAAATAGCATTGTGGATATTTCCTTGTTACCTTTGTTCTTATAACCAAAAAACACCCCACTAACTGGGAGGGACTAGTAAACTAATACTTGTGTCTATAAGGCTAAAGTGAATTAATTAACGTTTTTTTCTGTATCACTGTTTTATTTTAATAAAACTACTGTGCTTTTTTTAGATTATTTTTAAGTTATTGTAGCTTTCTTTGAAATTGTCCATGTGAAAGCTTTCACTAGAAGTTGTTACTCTGTTCTCTCTGTTCAATTTGTTACTTTTCTGATTGAAACTTAGGCCCTATCAAATGTAATCACTGTTCGTTGATTTCATCTGCAGCAGAGTTGCCTTCTGTCTTTCTTCTTTTGCAAATATGTTGCTGTTCATAAATTTTCTGTATTTTTTTCATATTTAAGGTCCTTCACTTGAAAATGATACTATTTCCTGCCCTAGATTTCACTTCATGCCGCGATTTGTGAGGTTTCTTCCAGGTAATATTTGTACTATGTAGCATTATGGAAATGAGATGTGAAAAAACAAAACAAAAAAAAACACAATGAACCCCACCACCTTCCCCCCCACCCCACCGAAAAAAACCCTCTATTTCAAGTCAAATGGTTCAGTCAGCATGGAGATCTGGTGCTTCCATCTGAAGTCTTTAGTGCTTTCTGGCAGTGTGGATGGTTTCCTCAGAACTGGGATTCAGATGAACAGGCCAAGTCTCGCTTCCAGTTTTTGTCTCTCTTGTGGTGATTTTAGGCAGTGCTGCTGGGTCATCCTTGTCTTGCCCTGCAGTGGAGCTGTGGCATTTGAGGAGGAATGCTTTTACCTAATTGCACGTGTGAAACTTAATTTAATGTCCCCTCTGCTCTTCAGGATACCGTGTGATTGTATTAAAACTCTTGATGTGCAGTTTTAAGGGTCATCGTGATTGGCAGCCCTGAGCACCTGTTCTGATTGTTTCTTTCTTTATCTTAATGCAAGCTTAGACCTTGCAGCAAATGGTGAAAGACAGAAAAACATCATTCCACTACAATTCAACCCTAGCCTGCCAGCCATGGACAAGCTTCTGTATGGAGCATTATGCTAATTTATAATGAACAGCTTACGCAGGCACTTAACACATCCTAAGATACTAGGACAGACTTTCAGTTGATATAAATGTCATGGCTCCATTGAAAATGTGTCCTGCTGAGATCCTGTCAGTGATTGCTCCAGAAGGGTTGTGTGGACAGGAGGATGCGTTTCAGCTGCCAGAATGAGGGTGCAGATGTGACATGGAACAGTCTTCATCAAGAGGGCTGTGGCCTGGAGGTCCTCTCTGCTCTGGGCTTTGAAACTTAGTTGGGATATTAATTATAGCTGTAGCTAAATGAAATTTGTCTCATTACTGTGGAGAGTACTGATGGCTAGATGACTATATTTCTAATTGTTGTTCCTTCCTGGATACACAACACTGTTCAATCAGAAGCAGAGCTCTGAGGCTTGCTAGCAAACATTGATTTGGTTCTGCTGAAGCAATTTACAAAATAAGCCATCAAGCCACATGTGGCTGATTAACTTGACCTCATCACAAAATGAGAACACGTTTGACCTGCTTGGTTTGTGTAGCTTCAGGGTGTTTTCTTGTTAGTTTGGGGTTTTTATATTTTGATTTATTTTATTTTAGTTTAGAAGTCAGCTCTTTCTGCACTGCTGGATTGCTTACTGATCAGGAGAGAAAAGTTTTTGTAACATGTATTCCTGTGTGCTTCCTCATTAAGGTTCCTAGCCTTTTAACTATTTTTAAAAATGTATTTTTCCTCATATTTCTGCATAGATAGTTGCCTTTCAGCATCCTTGACAGGTATTTTTAAAATCAAGTTTGCATTTTGTATTGATTATTTATTTGAGATGTCCTTGGAGATTTTTAATTTCCATAGAGTGGGAATCTATTTCCTTCAGGTATGTTTGCAGAATATTATATATCTATGTCTATTTAAAGAAGATACATTGGTGTAACAGATCTCCACATGTCCATCAACTGTCTCTTTAACGATAGAAATGAATTGCTGATTTCCCATCCCCTCTACTTTTTTTTTTCTTTCTTATTTTTCTAATTATCTAAATTATGATGCTTGGCATGTCACATTTTCTACATGGATTACTTAGAGACAGGCCTTGTGTAGCTTTGAGCTAATCATGCCAGGTTTACTGAGTGCTAGAGATACATAGTATGTGGAATAGTTTCTATATTGTATTAATTGTGATAAATTTTTATGATTATAAATGTATTAAGAGAGTAGAAGACTAGGAAAAAAAAACCAACATTTGAGCTGCCAAATACTGCATGTTCTGACCCAGGAAAGGTTGGGTCTTTAGATACTGTTCAGCACAGCTGTCTGTAGCAACCTGTACCCTTCCTGTACACTGTCTTCAGTGAGTAAAACTCTACTTTCTTTTTGGTGTTTGTTGGATATGGGTTGCCTGCTGCACAACAGTATAATCTAGTTGTTGACAAAGACAAGTCTTATAAACTGAGTCTGCCTTTAATTTGAAGGAAAATTTTGCAGATTTAAAGATCTGCCTCTGTAGCTATTTAGAAGTGTTTTCTGTTTCCGGTGAGGTTTGGGATATATTTTCCCCATTTAAGATTCCCTCTTGGAGCCTGAATGAGGTTATTTGTTCTAAGAGGCCACATTATATCGTTCCCTTTCATCTTTTCTGTACCATAGTGCTGTAATCCCAGCTGAAGTAAGAGAATGGCTTGTTCCCTCACATGTCTTGTAGAGGATATCAACTTAAACAACCCTGTTGTTATGCAGCAGTTCTGCGAGGCTTTTCCTGTGTGCCTGGGATCACATTCCTTGTGCTGTGGCATCATCCCCCACATTGCTCTAAGGCTTTACTTCTGTTTGGTCTCCATTCTGTTTTTTGTGTGTGTACTGATAGAGAGAACGTACTCGATGGCAGGACCAGACTGCTCCTGCTCCCTGGGGAAGGGAAACCAATGTTTGTGCTCTGTGGGGATGAAATTTGAAGATGCCTTGATGCCTACAGATTTATACCCTGTTGTTGGAGGAGGACGTCGGAGAGATGTGTATCAAAATTAAAGCACTGCTATAACATACCTATCTCTTACTCACATGAGCGGACATACTGAATTTGAATAGTCAGTGTCTTCTGAGTGGTGGTCTGTCAGGACCATCACTCATCTTTCCTGTTTGCATCTTCACATCTGTGACTGGCTACCTGGAGCCAGTCAGATGTTTATTATGCTGTCTTCCTTTGTTACAAGCAGCCTTTGCTGTGCATGTTTCCTGGTGTCTCGGAAGTGTTTCACAGTTTTCATGTGCCCTTGATTCATTTAGTGACAGAAGACAGCATGAGGCTCTTTAGTCTTCATTACTGCAAGTACAGCACGTAAGCACTACAGATGAGTTTAAAATGCAACTATAACTTGCTACATTCATTCAAAAGTATTCTGTAAACTTTTGAGTGTTCTTAAAAAAATCTGCATAAATCCCTAAGTCTTTTTAACTACCATTATAAAAAGAATGATAAAAGTGTGAAAAGAAAGATATAACTGGACAATGTAACTGATTGTTCTGCCTACTAATTTTAAAGTTTTTTCAGGCAAGTTAGGAACTTCAGCTTTACAGGATGAAGAAACTGTTACTCTTGTAACTGTTACTGTTAGTGCTTCCAATTTGGCAAAGCATTTATGCATCTGCAGTATTCATCAGTAAAACATTTGCCTTCATATTTGTCAAGTCACTTAAGCATTTTGCATTTTATTTTGCTCATCCAAATATTTTATGTGTTCTGCATATTTTCTCTTTTACTTATGCTTTAGGAGTGAATATCTGAAATGTGTTTCTTTTATTTATTTATGTTTTTAAGATGGAGGAAAAGAAGTCCTTTCGATGCATCAGATTCTTCTCTACTTGTTACGATGCAATAAAGCTCTGGTGCCTGAAGAGGAGATTGCCAACATGCTTCAGTGGGAAGAACTGGAATGGCAGAAATATGCAGAAGAATGCAAAGGGATGATCGTTATCAGCCCTGGCATGGTACAGCAAATAATTCTGATTTATGAACAGCCCAATGACATGTATATGTCCTGTTTCAGAGAGTTTGCTACAGACTGAATAGGAAAGGGAAAGGATGACCAGTGACAGTTGCAAATTGCTATAGGAACAATTCATTTACTTGTTCTCTAGCCCTGGGAAGAATTGTACCCTTTGCTGCTCTAATGAAGGGCAGATTTCCAGATGAGCACTGTTTCAATGTGCATGTTAAAAGGAGTGGCTATACTTTATGTATGTGAAACTGTAGTTTGCAGAGGATGCTTTCTTATTTTTTCAGTCTTTATGTTGATGATCTCATTCTCTTTTCCCTGACAGAGGACCAGAGAATTAGTAACTATTTGCTATTTTCTTTCATCTTGCTCTTTTGACCTCCTAGCTCTGTTTGAAGTGCTCTTTCCAGATTCTGCCCTGAATATGGAAAAGGTATTTTCTGCCTATGTGTTTTTTTTTCCACATTGTTTGTATGTTACTCTCACTCACACTGAGGAATTTTGTATTCATTAATGAATGCATCTATTAATTTTCAGTGCCAAGCTTGAAACCCCTATGGCCTTATTATTTTTGGAACAATTAGTATTTTAAAGCATACGTTCTCTGAACACAGCTCCTTTCAGCTCCAGTGTTTATGTTAATTTAGCCCATTTTCTGACTTTGACACTTAAGAAATGTGGGTACCAGAATGGATGATGTCCACTAAAAGCTGCGAGGGTTCTGTTTGTGTCGTATGGTCAGTATTGCAAAGTGGTATCTCAGTAGTAGAGACATGTTTTGGACCTAATATTTTAGACTGCCATGCAACTGTCTCAGTTATAATACCTTTCTTGGGCTTTATTTTCCCTCTTTGCTCATAGCTCAACTTCTTAGCTTCTGCAGAGAAAGTGTGACTTGGTATCATGCCTAAGGGGAAATTTAGTTTGCTAAATGAAAAACCTGTCCCTGAACTGCAGCCAGGGTATACTCCTAAATATATTTTTCAAGTTCATATTTTTAAGTATGGCAGCATTCCTTTTACTAAAGTACTTTATAAGCTAATCATAACTTGGGCAGGATAATTTATTTTTTCCCTGATCTCACTGTGAGTGTTTTCATTCTGGCTAAAACTTTCTACACTAAAAGGAAAATAAGATCACCTGTGGAAATGTGAAATACAGTATATGTGTGGATTCTCACTATGGAAAATTCTACCTGAGCTGGTTAAAACTGAGTGCTAAGTCAGTCTCATAATAGAAACTGTTAGATAGCCTTAGCTGTTTAACTTAATGTTGCCTGTGGTTTCTGTGATACAAGGTAAATGCTAGTGCACAAGTTGTCAGCATCTGAATGGTATACTCTAGCATCAGTTATTTTGCTGAAGATATGATGATTTCAGCTACCTGAAAAATTGGTTTTTTGTTTAGCATGAAAGAGTGCATATATGCTTCTTCCTTGCGTCGCTGAAGTGTAAATGTCTGTATGCACAAGGCAGTGGAGTTTGTGAGTTACAGTGTTAATTTTGAGATTTTGTGTGATCTTACTGACAGACTTTGCATTCTACTAAAACACAATGTTTTGAGATGCGTGTGGACATCAAAATATGTAAGCATAAAAGAAATCTGCAGTACTTGAAACATTGTCATGTTACAATGCCATCATTAGAACATGCTTTTTTTTCTCAAGGTTGCAATGATTTAGTTTGGATTTTTTTTTTCTGTTGATTGCAGCAGATTCTATTGAGTATGAAAGTAAGTGAAAAACAAGAGTGTGAAAGTATTTTCTATGCATTTTATAACATTAGAAGATAAAACAGTTCTATTATAGAGAGAATGTGAAACTGTTTTAGAAAATGACAGCTCTTCAATTCAATTTTATCCACTTGACACAACAGAGCAAATACACTAAATTTTATTTTGCTGATTTCCTCTACAACATCACTTCAGAAATAATAATTCTTTCTGTGAGCAGATCTAGGTTTTATTTATATATATTCTAGGTTTTTTTAAAAGTGAGGTGTATATATGGATGATGGAGAAGGGAAAAAATTTTGATAGGCAAATAAATCCCATTTACTTGAACAACTAACAACAGTTCGACATTATTTAAAACCATTTAACTTATTCATGGTGAGTCATTAGTTCAGTGAAACTTTGTGTTGGAATTTATTTAAAGGTTCTGAAATTTTAGTCCTCTAACACATCACTCTTCCTAAAACATTGTTGCTTTTCTCACTAGTACAAATATATGTATTTTAGCATACATTTGTACTACATCTGCATGCAGTTTCATCATGTCTTCTAATATCAGCAAAGCCTTGTTTGATGAGGTTTGGAGTAGGAAACAAAGATAATGGGCCTCTGTCTGTTAGAATTTCTTTGTTTTTCATGAGATCTTAAAAGCAAGGTTGTGATTATTAGTCTCTCACAGCACTTTTAAAAGAACATGGGGATAAAAATCTGGAAGAATAACATCTAATTTGCTTGCATCCTGTCTGCTGGTGCACAATTTATACTGTATGTTTCTGTATGGTGCTATTCGTTCATTTATCCGTCAGAAACAGCAGCAGAGAGGAAGCTAGTGTTCGCTGTGCTGAAGGAAGCTGAGCTATATCCCCCTCATAACTGTCAGTGAAGGAACAATTGTGATTGTCTCAAACAAGGTGTTCTTTTGTCCTGGTTGTTACCAGGCATCTGTGAACAGCTGTGTAACTGAGTGACAAAACTCAAAGGCAGTGGCATATAAATAAAGAAAGCGTAGTTTGGTGAGATGCCAAGGCCACACGTTTCACGCAGACCCTGCTATAGGCATAGTGAAAGCTTTTCTCCCTCTCACACTTTTGATGATCAGATTACTTCTGTTTAGGTATCTCAAATGTGAAACATTTGAATAGGAAAATATTGTTGAAAATTTTTTTTTAAAATATATCAGTCTACTGAGTGTAATTATTGTTTCATATTCTCTTAATTATATTTTGCCACCTTGGTTCTCAGAGGAGTTGTTGCGTAGCAAGGATGCTTTTTTGAGGTGGGCGGGGATGGAAGAAGTTCCTCATTTTTAGTGTTAAGAAAGGGGAGAACCAACAAACAACTTCTGTGAAGATAAAAACTTTTCAAATTGGCATTGTGCAAAACCCACAAAACCAGATAACCTTAAATTTCAGGACTTTAAGCGCTGATTTAGAGAGCAACATTCTGTCTGCTACAAATCCTCCACATGTTTTCCATTAGATTTTGTTGTCCTAATCCCTTTTTAGTGGAAATGCTGTGGGGAAAACCTTTTCTCTTCTTTTTTCTTTTCTTTTTATTTTTCTTTTTTTTTTTTCAAACCTGGCAGCATGAGCTAAGTAACTTACATTTTTTTATTTTTCTCTCTTTCTGGGTGAGGAGAGGTAACTATGTTCAGTCATCATGTCCAAAGGGAAGCTGATAAGCATTTTTCCCTTAGAAAATGTTTCTCTGACTGTCAAAGTTTTAAGTAAGTTTTTGGGTTTTTTAGGGTAGGTTGGAAGTGTGGCCACCCGATGAGGCTTACCTTTATAGAATTGGCTTTGCTTATCCGTGCAGAAAATGATTCCTGTGAACAGTTGTACCAAGGTGGTTTGAAGGGTGAAAGCTTTGTTCATGACATGGTTTTTATTGTTTTGTGAAGAGAATGGTGGGAGCTCTTTCTGTAACTCTGAATCTTGTCTTTGAGAGATTCACAATGCTGAATTAGAAGTTTTGAGATGCAGGTAACTAGAAGTAATGCCCTTTTTCTGAAACCTTAGACAAGCAGAAAATATTGGCTTCATCCAGCTGATTGCAAAGCAGGGAATAAGCAGGCACATAGCAAAGCAGCTTGCCAGGTAATGGAGAAAATGTTTACTTGGAGACAAACTGTGCAACTTCAACTGAGTTTTTAAATGTTAGATAAGTGATTGAGAGCTCTGTAAGCAGCATGTCTTCTACAGTGACATACAATTAATGGTTTTCTGTGTTTTTAGGGGTGAAGCGAAAGTTGAATCCTTCTACATTGTCCTTTTTAACTATAAAAAGAACTTCTGTTTTGAAGTGTACAAAGGACAGAAGTCTCCTCATTTTACAAGACTGTGTTCCTCATTGTACACATCAGCCTGGGAACCTTTTCTAAGAGTAGCATGACAGATTTTTTTTTAATGCTGTTTAGTGTGTGTAATTGAATGGATCTAATAATGGCTTCACTTGCTTTGGAAAATCAGGAACAAAGGCAAAATTAGAGATGTAACCTGACCTTAGTGAACTGCTCAGGCATGTGGGACCTTGGGTGCCAGAATGCTAATCCTGATCTAATTTCCAGTGTGACTTTTGACTAAAGAAAGTTACTTTTAAGTTCTTGGAAATAAACAAACTGTAAATTTTCTGACTTGCAAAATGAAAATAAAAGGACTTCCTTTTTTTTCTGAGAGAGCTAAGTCAATTAACTTTGTTTCAGTCATTGTCATTGCCAAATATTTATTATAATATTAATGATTACTTTTATGTGCATTTTAATATGTGGAATATTGCTTCTTCATGGTTCCTGGATAGTGTGGGCTAGAGGCAATAAGTTTTCCATGGAGCTGTTGTCAACTGGGTATATTTTGTTTTTTCTCCTAGAAACCCAGCTCAGTTCGTATTGATCAACTGGATCGCGAACAGTTCAATCCTGATGTAATTACTTTCCCCATTATTGTCCACTTCGGGATACGACCTGCTCAACTCAGTTATGCTGGAGATCCTCAGTAAGATGCTTTTCCTTCCATCTTTCATTCTGAAAGTCATTACTGTTGCCATTTGTGGCTTAAATAGGGCTGGTTTATGTGCTTAATTGAGGCTGATACAAAGCTTAGTGCTTATGACATTTTACAAGAGCTTGTGTACATTAGAGAATATAAGGTATAACTTCTTTTTTTCTGGCATGATTCAGGGTCTGCTGAAATAAATGTGCATGTATGTGCAGTATGAAATTTCTCAACCTGAGAATAGATCTTCTAGGTCAGACCAGAGTTTCCTCAAGCTCCACGTTATTTATCCGAGAGGCCATTTGTGGGTTTTTAGAGAGAAAATAGTGTAACATGAAGGCATAGAGGGAGAAATACCCAGGCTTCCAAAGGTCTGTAGCATATGGACTTCTGAGCTAGAGGGTGTATTTAGATCATTTTGTTTAACAGCCCTGAATGGACCTTCCTTCTCTAAATTTCTCAAATCACTGTTTGAATCTTTTTATGCTACTGACAGGAAGAAGATTCCAGGTAATCACTTCCCCAGTAATATTGTGCATCATAAGAAAAAGGACTGACTTTTGCTTCAGAGCTGCTACTTGATCGCTTAATTAGATGTTCTTCAGGTCTTAAATCTAATAATGAAGAATATAGCAATCTTCTCTTTGCTTCCTTTATGACATTTATGTTTCTTGCACCCTGCCATATCCTACTTAGTTGTCCCTTTCTGTGCCTTGAAAGATTGTGTACATACTATTTCACAGTTTGGAAGCTGTTGCATCCGTGGTATTTTTCTCTGTAACTTTTATATCCTTACAGAGATTGGGAGGAATGTAGTGAAGGAGTGGAGAGGGAATCAGAACTACAGTCAGAGCAAAAACTACTGTTTCACTGTGGATTCATGTAGTGGCATAAAAGTGATTGCTGCATTTTGTTCACAATCCTTTTCTTAATTTTTGACAATTTCAGGGAACACTTCCGATGATGTAGAGATCTGTTTTCTGAATGATGACAGACACTATAGAACCCATGTCTTGTGCATGTGTAGTAAAGGTTGTCTTTTTCCTCGTACATTTTCCTCCAGTGTCTTTTAAGGATGTTGAATTTCACCTGCAGTGTTGAGACCCAGACACTCATATGGGCATGTATGACAGACATTTTCTTCTACAACTGCTTGCTGAGAATTTTAGATTTAATAATGGTGGGAAGAGTGAGTGCTTATCCAGATAGTAATATATTTTCCTTTGGCTTTGAGCATGATTTTTAATCCTCCTCATCTTTTAGTTTTCTTATCCATTAAAAAGAAAATAACTAGACCAAAGAATTGAGAACCACCTCTATTCTGATGCTGAATTTCTTAATATTTCTAAAATTCTAGTACCTTGCATTGGAAGCAGTATAAAGATACAAAAAATATTCTTCCCATACTCTTTTATTTTAACTTTCTTTAAAATTTCTGTGGCTTTTTTTTTTTTTTTCCCCAGAACTGCTTACAGAATTTAGGTGTGCTTCTTTTTACCAAAGTAACAAAGCAGTTTTTGTGAAAGACCTCTGTGGTGCCATCGTAAACCTTAGGCTTAACTCTGGTATATGTCTGAAATAAGAAATACCCAAAAAAGATTTTCCTCTGGTATGTCTTTTCTTTATGAGGTTTTAATACAGAATTTTTGTTATTGTAATCTCTTTATTAATTCTCAAACTTAACTTCAATAACAGAGCTTGTTCCACCCATATTAATACTAGTAATAAAACATACATTGTAGATCATTGTTTCAGGTTCTTGGTTTTGGGTTGAAACCTCCTCACCACATTTATTTTATTTCTGGTTGATTGATTTGTTCATTAACTCATTTTTCTTCGGATAGGGATTTATCAGAAATAGATGTGCTATTCTGCAGATTGCAGAAATTCGGAGAAGAGAGCATAGGAATAATCTATGGATTGATGATTTCAGATGTGTTTATAGACACAAAAAATATCAGCATGTCTAGAGTATACATTCAGGAACGCTGCAGAGAAATAGCTATGGAAAAAATGCCAGTAAGAGGAGATCAGTTTGTGTGTCTGTGAATGTGGGGTGCTCAGAAGATTATGGAATAGTAAAAGAGCTACTACTTCATTTACTGCTTTGCCGTTAATGTGGTAGCTTCCTACTACCACTGCTCTAAGTTGGTGCTGAGAAGGATCTTCTTTTATAATGTAAATATAAAAGAAAATAAATTACTTGAGTAAACTTCTTCCTTCTGTCCTCTAATTCCCTGCTTCCTTTTAGAAGTCTGGTTTTATGGGTTTTCTTGAGAAAACTCTACAGAGGTGATACTATTTTGAAGATAGCATTCTTTCCTAAGGACACAAGGTCCATGTCATGATTCTCTTGGTTGCCCTTCCCATGGTAAGTTTTGAACTTGTTGGTCAGTTGCAGCTGAATATAACAGTGGGATGTCTACAAATGGAGTAAGTTCTTACAAGTTTTATGAAAATCCATGCTAGATCGCAGGGGGACTCCAACCAAGGAAAACGTTCTGTGTAATTAGACAGTCACAAAATAAGAAAAGGCTAGACAACTGGAGAAAACCAAAAACCTTAAGTGTATGTTAACCACAGAGAAAACTTGACTTGCTGTTTCTGTTCAACACAAACCCATAGGGAATGAAACTTTCATTTCACTGTTCACATGATGACTTCACGTTGCACATGATTTGTAGAGCTCTTCCTCGTGTGCTTCACTGAAATGTTTCAACCAGTGTAAGGACAGACGCTTCTTGGGAAAGGTTACTACTGCTTTTTCAGTGAGCGATAGGTAAACCCTGTGAAGAAGAGAGAGTTTTCACTGGTCTGAATTGAGATGTCATGCTGCAGGCAAGTCTTCTCAGCCTGTGGAGATGGCCCTTTGGAGAGGATAGGAGGTTATCTGAGACCTGAGTTGTGCCCTGAGCTTTGCTCTTCACCTCACACTGCACACTAATGCCTCCTCTCTGCTGCTGTGTGCACCCTGCTGGAACAACTGCAGAGAGACTGTCACCTCTCTTGGAAAATGCATTGAGATTTTTTTTCTGGAGCAAAAAGACACCTCCAGTCAATCTTTGTGTATATGGGTGCATTATTAGCGGCTGGTGTGTTCTTAGGACAATGGTGAGAGACTTCTGTTGTATCAACCAAAATATTTGTTTTCTGTTTTTTTTTTTTTTTTGTTCAGATACCAAAAGCTATGGAAGAGTTATGTGAAGCTGCGTCACCTGCTGGCTAATAGTCCTAAAGTCAAACAGGCTGATAAACAGAAATTATCACAGAGAGAGGTATGTTGAGCCTTCCTATAACTGATAATTGAACACGGTAATTCAGTGGGGAATAAAGTCATATGACAACCCTGTTTATGGAAACAATAGAAATTCTTCACAAAATAATTTTTTTTCAGGCTGTTAACACTGATTTTATTTTTACCTTTGCTTGTTAGTGAATGGATTTTTTTCCCTTTTTCAGCTGTCAAGCTACTACGAGTTTTTTATCCAGTTGTAGAAATCATCATTCTAGAACCACAACTTCTTTATAGCCGTTGCCATTAATGGTTTCAAGAATTAGCATAGAGAAGGACTTTTTATTTCAGAGTGCACTTTTAACTGGCTCATAATTTTAAACATTTATCTTCTGAGATAAAAACTGCCACACTTGTGCATGGTTTTAAGCCGTAATTTATTAGTCAGTCTTAGTGACATTCTTTAAGATCTTTGAGTTGAAATCATCTGGTGGTTGTTATTTTCAGTAATCTTTAATGACAAATGAGATATTTGTTGAATTTTTGTCTTTTCTCTCTTTTTTTTTTTCCCTGAAATGATGAGCAATAAGCATTGCCTAAGTGCAGATGCTCAACCAATTGGGAATTAAAATCAGAAAAATAAAGTCACCTAAATATAGACTGAAGCAGCCTGCTCTCAGGTATCTATTTTTTTAGGATCTTGGACTGAAGCTTTGAATGTCTGGTGCATGTCTACCAGGCACTCTTAATTGGACAACTTACATAAAGAATACATAGAGGAGAAATTAACTATTTTTGTACTGGATGGAATTTAATTAAGTGGTGTTGTGTTTTTATTTATTGATTAGAAACCCTTATGATTCATAGAATCATAGAATATCCTGAGTTGGAAAGGACCCATGAGAATCAGAGTCAAATTCTCGAGTCTTTCCCAGTTTGCTAATTGTGTAGCTTTGGTTGCAGTAAATGTTTGACACATTTGACATTGCACCTGATTTTTATTATTACTGAAAAGCATAGTATGCTGTTGCATGAGCAAGAGTCTTAGTTAACATTTTATTTATGCTGGTACTACATAAGCCCTGAGCTTCCTTACTTGTAAATGGAAAAAAACCACAATATTGTGACTTGACTGTGCCACAGCTATAAGGAAAAAAAATTTTTGTCTCTACATGAGGTGATTTTGTGATTTTGTTTGCTACAGCTTTCTACACTCAGAGCAAGTAGAAGGGAAGGCGTTTGTTTTATGGGGATCTTTTTATTAGGGGCTAATGGATGACTTATTTGTAAAATTGTAGTGGATTGGATATAGCGTCATGATTATGTTTTGATTCAAAAGATAAAATGCTCATTCGATATTTATCAGTTACTGTGTGGTGTGCTGATTTTTCTTTCTAGACCATATTATCTAGGATAATGAGTTTATGAAGTAGTTTGCCATTAGAGAAGCATGCAGGACTGAAACAGAGGCTTTATTTGAGGATAACCTATGCATTTTGCCAGTGGAGGTGTCAGTAACTTGGAAGGAGCTGTAGGACTGCACCTGACTGGTACACGGGCTTTTAAAGATTATGAATCATATATTATGAGTAATATTGGAGTGCTCCTGAACCAGTCAGCCTGAAAGTACAGCTAGGTCCCGCAAACACTGTAGTGCCTGTCTCACATAACACCCAGTGACACAGCCTTGAAATGCAAATTTAGTCAATGCACAAGGGGTGCAGCGTTGTAAGTGTCTCTGTTCCCTCTGTCATCCATCATTCACTGCTATGGAATTGTATGATGTTATTATTTGTGACAAGGTCGTGCCTGGGGGCTTTGTTCCTCTAACCTAACTTTGAGCGTTTACAGCAGGTGCATAAATTGGAACCTGAAGGCTCACTTTGAAGTCAATGGAAAGAGAAATGCATTTTTTTGAAGCCTTTTATCCCTCTTCATTGAATATAAAAGGAGCCAAGGCTAACTAGCCTCCTACCCTAGACGCCTCAGTATTGAGACGTCTGAGGTTTGATGAATCTATGTCTGGATAGATGTGCCTCTTAGAACCACTCTGAGTCTCTGCAGAACAGAAGACAGAGCCTGTTCCTGCCCAAGGATGCTCACAGGCTTCAGACTGGAAGCTGGGAAGAGACAGCTTTGAGCAAGTGCCCTGTAATGAAAAGGAGGAGGAGAGGGAGGATGGGTTGCAGCTTTGAAAAGTTTCATATTCTGTAGAAGGGAAGAGCACTGAGGGAGTCTTTACCTTTAGTGCATGCTGTGTGGGGAGCTTGTATACCCCACAGCTTTTGTAGTATTGGAACCAGGACATCCTGATGGAGGGATGATATATTTCAGCTGGTTTTCTTTCATTCAATTTTTACAGAAAATATTGTCTTTCAATGATTCTGTCAGAATCTTAATGATTCTGTCCCTTTCATGGTTTCTAGAGACAAATAAACTCTTCACACAATAACAGACAGCCAGTGGTCAAGGCAAAACAGATTATTGTTTTTTTAATTTTCTGATTGAAATAATATTGGTAGATTTCATCATAATAGGCTTCAGGGCTAGTGAATGCTGACCCCTTTCCCAGTACTGATTGTGTTGAACAGGAACTATTATGAAGTAGCTGGCATCACAGAACAAAGCCTTTCTTTCACTCAGTCTGTTTTGTTCCTGCTGAATGCTTTAATCCAGGGCTACCCATGGTGATGGACTTGAATTAAGAGGTTGTTTTCACACAGGGGTCAAGAAGGTGTTTTCATTATAAGGACCTAAACTTGCTTACTTGTGTATCATCTTGGATGTATGAATTAGACTGGTTTGTTCTGTTATTTGCAGTAAAAAACATATTCACCTCTGTTCTGTTCTTGGTCTACTAAAATCCTCTGTCTACACTGTACTCCAGCATGTCCTCTACAGTTGGTGGCAGGCAGTTAGCAGATTCAGACTGGTCTTAGAAACTGCTTACCAAAAGCAAACCTTAAATGGGCATTGTGAACACTCATGTGTGCATTGATACTGTTGTGATGTAGAACTGTTCTCTCCCTGTCTAGGAAGCACTGCAGAAAATTCGTCAGAAGAACACAATGAGACGTGAAGTGACTGTTGAGTTAAGTAGCCAGGGATTCTGGAAAACAGGGATACGCTCTGATGTCTGCCAGGTGACTAAGCCACAGAGATGTCTATGATGTATTTTCTTGATAGCTGCCATTTACCTCTTGCAAGGGTTTGCTGTGATTCTAGGCTGAAGAGCCAAATGGAAATGAACACCTTTGCCTCAATAAGCTCTGTTGATTTAGGGAACTATTCTAGTGTCCTGTCCACCTCCTCCATGCACACAAAAAGTTACTTTAAAATGTTAGTTTTCTTGCCACTGGTTGATTAGCACAAGTGAGGGGGGGTAGGAACGGCCAGTTTGAGGCTAGAGGTTAGCCAAATGTTGAGTCTAGTGTGGAACTCCAAGAGCTTCTTCATCCATCAATTGGGTTGATTTTAGATATTTTTATTTTAATACATTTTTTTAGATATTTTTTAAAAACAAATTTTACTGTGAAGTGTGAAGAAATATGTTTTTGCCTGAAAGAAGATAAAGAAAAAAAACCACCACAAACAACTTCTGGATTAGAACAGGTGGCCCTCGGTATGAAAATATGTTTCATATGCTCTGTTTCATACACATGACACCTTCAAGGTACAGTTCTCCACTAGATCCTATTCTGAAGCAGTTGTCAGTGACTAGCTTTGTGATACGTTAATAAGTTCAGCTTTTATATAATATTATATTAGTAAAATTCAAGTAGTTATATCAGACAATTAAATATACTAGAGGTATACTTGCACCATTTTTTTTAGCTGCTGTTTTGGAGATGTTATTTAAGAATGTCCTGGGTTGAGTGAGTGGTGGAGTTTTTTTGGTAGCAGGGGAGGGGGCTATAGGGGCAGCCCCCTGTGAGAAGCTTCCCGAAGCTCCCCCAGCTCCAAGTCAGATCCACTTCTGTTTGGAAACTGAGCCAACCAGGTACGCCTCTGCGATAACGTATTTAAGAAGGGACGTGGTGACGGGCAGCAGGACTTGTGAGGAGGAGTTGCTGCAGCTGCATGAACACCAAGGTCAGTGGAGGAACGAAGGAAGAAAGGAGAGGGGAGGTGTGCCAGAGCAGAGACCACCCTGTATCCTGTGGTGAGACGGCAGGGTGGACCCCCCCCGCCACCCATAAAGATCTATGATGGAGCAGACTCTGATTTATGGCCTGTGAGGGGTTTCACATGGATGAGTAAGAGGTGACAGTGCCCAAAGAAGGCCGGGATCTTATGGGAAGAAGCAACTCCCACTATTGTAGTTCAGCACTGGGAGGATTGCAGCATGCAGGGGTGTCCCATGCTGGAGCAGCTCGGGAAGGGCTGCAGCCCATGGGAAGGACTCCAGTTGGAGGAAGTTAGTGACCCATGACGGAGCAGTGTGGGGAACACTGCGGCCCATGGGAGGAACTCATGTCGGAGGAAGTTTGTGGACTGTCTCCTGTGAGAGGGGGACCACGATGGAGCAGGGGGAAGAAGTTCCAGAAACTCCCCCCACCGAAGATAAAGAAAATGGCAGCACTGCCTGCACCCCCCATTCCCTGCCCCTGCGCCACTGGGGGAGGAGGTAGAGATATCGGGAGCAGAGCTGAGCCCGGGAAGAAGGGAGGGGTGGGGGGAAGGTGTTCTCAAGATGTGGCAATGCTTCTCACTGTCCTACTCTGTTACGTGTTGTTAGTGCCTGTAATAAATGTATGTTCTTTTTTTCTTCCCATAATGAGTCTGCCTTTTGCTCATGATCATAAAAGGGGATTTTTCCACATCCCAGTCCTATCTCTAACCCCAAGCCTGGCTCTCTGTCCCTTCTCATTGCCAGAAGAGAAGGGAGAGAGAGCCGCTGTGTGGTGGTTGGCTGCCAACGAGGCCCAAACCATGACAAAGAATTAAATGCTTACAGTTTAATATTGACTTAACAGTATAAAATATAAACTTTGGGGGTTGCTCAGCAAAGGTATAGGTAGAAATCCCATTGTTATCTTAAAAGTCTGGTAAGGCCAAAGGGGAAATTCTAATGGGAGGTAAATGCTAATAACTAAAATTGCTTTTCTTCTGTCTGAAACATTTCTTGTGATTCTATTATTGCTTCTGAAGTCTAAGATAGATAATAGTGGAACAATATCTTCTCACATAGCTGAGGAAAATTACAGCACTTTTCTAATTTGTTGTGAACTATATCTATTTTTACAGGTTAAGTAAACAGTGTGAATTTCTAATTTAGGAACTTTGAAACAGTTCTGTATTATTCGTAACGTATTCTGTGATTCATCTCTTAAAGTCTTCTTGGATATTCCTGTCTTGTTTTGCTGTCAAAGGACAGCAAAACACCAAGGAATGATGAAAGTAAAGCTGTTTGGTGTTTTTGGGCCCATCTGCAGCCATAACATCTAAATCAGCCAGTTCTGGAATGAAGATCCTTTGATTTGATTTCTTTGAGAGGCCAAGAGTAGGCAAACTCTATGTCTGTAAAATGAAAGATTGGTGCTGTTTCTACATGATTTTTCCCAGATTAAAGAAGACTTAAACTAAATACACATAAACCAACTCTGGGCAGGGCTGAAGTGCAGTGATTTAAAATTAATACTTTTAAAAGCATTGCTCTTTAGAACACTGCAACTCTTTTAAGTCACTCTCATAGCTTATAGTTGCTCTAAGTTCCACAGAACAGTAATCACAGTAGTCTTTGCAGTATCATAAATGAACTGCTTGGAGGGGGAGGAAAAAGGGTGAGTGAAATGTTCCAAAAATGTAAAATGGCTGTGTTCTGCCAGGCTCACTTCAAGTTATCTGGTAGATGAAGTGCACTACTGGGCTACTAAGTGGGGCAGCGCTTACTATGGAGTCTGCCAGGATGGGGCCATGCTGCAAAGAAACCCTCCCCCTACCCTCTACCCACCCCCACATCACTGCCTGTATTGTTGCTGGTGTGCCCTCAACAGCTGTGTTAGGTGTTCAAGGTGAGAAGGGAAATGATTCATTTCAGAATATTTCAGTTCACCTGGTTCTTAGTAGCTTCAGGTCAGGATTATCTGCCAGCCTGGGGGGTGGTGGCACTAGCTGGGGCCGCCTGAGTGTCCCTGCCTTGCTATGCCAGCTGCAGCAAGAGAAGAACATGCAGCATAGTTAAAATCATATATATTTAAAAACCAAAAAGAAGTTACTTATATGTTTATAACCAGTTACAAGTGCCAAGGTTATGGGATAACTCCTGTGGCCATATGGTTTCAGGAGACTTTTTTTAATCATTAGCTATTCTTTAGCCTAATACAATTTTTAAAGCTTATGTTTTATTATTTTCTTGTAAATAGATAAATACATAAAACATCAAAAACATCAAATAGCTATAATCCAACATGATGCACATTAATTGACTCAATCAAGTATTTAATGCCATGGAAGCAGCACTTTGTCAATATAACTGCAAGAGTCAAATTAAAGGCCTTCTGCGTGTTCCCAAGGAGATGTCAATTGTTAGTTCACTGCACCACAGCTGATAAAAAACTAAAACTTTGTATCTCAGTCCTCAAACTTAGGGCCACGTGTATTGGTATAAAGAATATTAAACCTTGCTTGAGGGAATCCTTCTGCCTAGCTCAGTGGAACATACAGGCAGGGAAGCAGAGTTGTCCCATGAAGCAAGTTTGGGGTTGGGTTTTTTGTAATGAATTCCTTCTGTGAAGGAATACATAGGAAGTACACCTGTACAGTTTATATGGAGGTAAAAGGGTTGTTCTCCTAGCTTGTGAATCACCCTAAGAAAAATCTAAATGTGTGACATGGTAACAGAATTAAATTTCATTTACACTTACTCAGTTTTCTTGGTCTGGTTTTGCATTTTCCTGCTTTCAGAGATCCAGAGAGTTGTTTTCTTGGTGTTGACTAGTTGCTTCCATCCAGTAGAAAAGGATCCTGGGGGATGTTGGTCAAGAGCCAGCTGAATATGAGCCAGCAGTGTGCTCAGGTGGCCAAGAAGGCCCTTGGCTCCTGGCTTCTGTCATAAATAGTGGGTGTTTGTCTCCTCTCCCAAGTAACAAGCGATAGGACAAGAGGAGATGGCCTCAAATTGTGCCAGGAGAGGTTTGGATTGGATATTAGGAAAAATTTCTTCACCCATACTGGAATGGGCTGCCTAGATAAGTCACCGTTTCTGGAGGTATTTAAAAGTCATGTAGGTGTGGTGCTTACAGACATGGCTTTAGTAGTGGAGTCGACTGTGTTAGGTTAATGGTTGGACTCAATGACATTAAGGGTCTTTTCCAACCTAAATGATTCTGTGATTACCTTCCGGCTATGTGTTCAGTTCTCAAGCATTTTGCAGTCTTTTACTTAAACAGAAATTATTGGTTATTCTTAACTTCTCAATCTTGTAACATTCACCAGCTGGTATTTTCTGCTGTTCTTTCATTAGTGACATGCAGAAATCCATAATATGATTTATTCCATAAACTATATGTCTGCTTTGTATGCTTGTTTTTCTTGCATCTCTCCACACTGTACACTCATCTTCTGTAATTATATGCATTCCTCTTTCTGAAATTAATAGTGATAGCCCTCAGATTTTGATTGCCTTAAAACACATCATTCTTTTGAATATATTCTTGTCACGTCACTAACAGGAATGATTAGAAGAACTGAAATTTGATACCAATGTCACAAAAATGGTCACATGCATAAAATTCTTTAAATACTGACATTTCTTCTGTAGCTCTTACTCTTCACTCGTATACAAGATTTTTGATGTTATCATACTTGCTGTACTGCTGTACTGATAAACTGTACTACACAGATCCAACTGAAGTCAATATTAGTGTAGAATTCCTGCTTTAAAACACTGAAAGAGGGAGACTTTTGTTGTTGAAACAGAGTGAATTAAATTGTTATCGAAATTTTCCCTAACAGAAGAACATTATCTGTTTCCTAGATGATCAAACAGCAACCTTTCTGATATTTTTTTAGCACACTGAGCTAGTAAATGCCAGACTACAGCATTTCAAAAAGTCCTAATTCTCCTTAGAAGGAAATGAAGGCACTAATAACTGCTTGAAAATCAAGTGGCTACCATTGTTTCCTGAAAGCTGGTTAAGGTGCTATAAAGTACTTCTTCCCTAGTGTTATGAGGCAAAGGGGAAATGATCTTCCTTTATCTTTGGTACTAACCTAAAACTGCAGGGTGTTAAATGGGAAGGTACAAACATACAGCATTGTATTCAGTCACAGATTATTGACATTTGATGTTACTGGTGACCAGACATTTTCTACCTCATTCAAAATACTTAAGTACAAGACTGGTTATATGTATATATTTAGTCTGGGTGGGGCTGTGTCCCCACTGTGATGATGCAGGTGGACAAATCTGATTTAAGTCCTCTAATGATGAAGTTTGAGAAACCATTTTTTTTTTCCTCATTTAAACCAAAACAGTAAAACCATGTGTTGTGACAAATGGAAAGTGTTTGTGTTTATAGCTTAGTCAGCTGAGTACCTTGTACACTGAAGTTGAATGCTTTTCCTTATTTCAATTGTGTTTTAGCATGCAATGATGCTTCCTGTCCTCACCCACCATGTCCGCTACCATCAGTGTCTGATGCATTTGGACAAATTGATAGGCTACACTTTTCGAGACAGGTGCTTGCTGCAGGTAAGATATAAAAAAAAAATAAACTACTTGCTGTTTTGTCTTCCTAATATTACTGAGTTTCTCCATAATCCTACCTGCTGTGCAACCTTGAGAAATGCACTGCTTTACCACAGCCTGGAGGTAGTTGATTACTAGCACTGCAGATCTTTCAAAATTTTCAGTTTTCCCAAGAGACTTATGAATAGAGACATCTGTTGTTCATGTAGGCATACACCTACCTTTGCTCCAGTGGTAGGTCTGGATTTGCTTGTAACATGTAGAAAGACAAAAATATGCTTACTGAAAAGACTGTCAGGTACATTGCTTATTATGTGTAAGCTCTTTTTTTAGATATTTGTGAAGAATGAGATGTTATTCTGAAGATGAGCATATATGCCTTGCTTCTTCCTTTTATAGTCTGTTGTTCAAAAAAACCCAAACCTTAAGCATTGGCTTTTTATTTTGCTAGTGAAAGCTAGTGAAAAGGAATTTGCAAACTTATGTTAAGCTCTTGGTTTCTACACGTACATGATGAAATATTTGCATTTACAAACAAGGGCAGGAACTGGAGAGGAGAATTTCTTACTTGTTTTAAATGCATCCATGCTGCTTAATCAGCCATTAATGTAAGTGCATATTTGGAATTTATCAGCTCCAAAAGCTAACTCTTGGCATGGTGGCCCATTTCACCTTATGTTTTTTCTGAAGTTACTGAAGGGAAATGGAGACTTATGTTCAGGATTTCCCCCTGAAATAAGCATCATATCTCTCCACTGACTGGGGCTGAGAAAAGTGAATTTTCTCTAAGTTCAAAACATGCAGTTTCTCTATGTGTATGGAGACTTTACTCCCAAACTATTTTAAGCAGATGCTTGCAGAGAAATCTTTTTTCATAGCTTTTCTGTTTTCTAGAAGTTGGTTTCCAGGTCTTCCCCTACTGAAAGGTACATTAAATATTGAGCATCTTGTAGGATTTGATTGTTCAGAGGCTGCCTTGGTTTTAACATGAAAGATAAAAATGCAGTGATGGAGATCTTAAAACTGTTGAGACCAAACACACAAACCAAAAAGCAAATTACAATTGAAAAGGGGAGAAAGCATAAAATCCAGTGTGTCAGCATTAGTCAAATTAATGTTTAGTTATAACAAAAGTACTTTTTAATTCTTGATCCCTATGCAAATTTATTTTAAACCTATAAACTTGTTCCAGAAGAGAAAGAGCTTTTTAAAAATGTATGTAGCACCAATCACCTACTTCAGCATAGGCAATATTAGATATATAATTTTGCATTGATTTTTACCTGTTCCATCATGATGTATTCTTTTTAAAGTACAGACTGGGCAAGAAAGATTATGCAAATTTAACTATTTGGAGAAATTGTAATGTCTCATCCAGCCAGTTCAGATGGAGCAGAAATTGAGAATATGCAATTATGTTAAATTTAGTAATATTAGCGAGGAATTAAAAAGGACTTGGAAGAATTCTTATTGTTGATTAAATACAATTTTACTCTCTTAAACAATTAAAATAAACTTCTCTTAAGTCTCGTGTTTGCAAAGCCATGGACAATATTTGAATGAACTACTGGAATATCTGCTCACAGCCTGCGGCACCAGTCCTGCAAGTGTTGCACAAGTAACTTTCTGCAGCTTGAATTTGCCAATGTATCTCTTGTTTTATATATAAGGTGTGTGTGCCCATACATGTATAATATTTTTAGGTTTGTATGTGTAAAGAAAGAGGAAATGTGTGAGTTTGCAAGATAAAGTAATAAAAGCTAGCTGTAGTTCTATTTACTGCTGCCATTTTTGTAGTGGTGGTGTCAGCAGCAGAGTAAGCTTTTGGTAATACTAGGTTGTCCAGATGTAAAACAGAAGACCAATCCTGCCGTTGCTGTTCACTTCTGGTTGAAGAGTGGCCCTGTATAGTCATGAGAGAGTTCTGTGAATAACCATGACAGAGATAATATACTTGTTTGTTGCTGTTTCATTTTTTGAAGTAGGAAGGTTTTATAGATTTTTAACCTAAATTAAATATGTGAATGGTTGAGAAGCTCTTTTAGTTGTTCGTATTTTTAATATGAATATTTAGGTTGCAATGGTAAAGTGAATATATGTTTAAATAAGCAAATGCGTTGAAGTTAGGTCAGCAAAACTGGTAAGCAAACTGCTAGCACAAATTGACAGTTCACGCTTTTTTTTTCTTCTAAACTAATTTTTCTTTAAAGAAAAAAAAACTGTTGAAAATTAATGAGTTAAACTGATGATTGGACATAAATGTTGCTTCTTTCTGGCATCTGAAATAGTACGTCCTACATTTAAATTGCTGGAACCAAGCTACTGATTGACAACATCACTTTGTTGCCTTTCTTCAAAATAAAAAATAACAATTATTAGCTACCATTCTAGGATTTTTTTTTTCCCTACATTTGCAAAAATACATCTAAGATTTCTTTTTTTCCTGTCTGTGCTACGTTATAGCTTGCCATGACTCATCCAAGCCATCACTTAAACTTTGGAATGAATCCAGATCATGCCAGAAATTCCTTATCCAACTGTGGGATTCGACAGCCAAAGTATGGAGATAGAAAAGTTCACCATATGCACATGAGAAAAAAAGGTATGCTGTTACACCACTACCGTTTTTCTCTCATCTCACACTTAATCGGTAAGAAAAACTTTTGTCCATTATTATTTCGTTGGCCATTGTTCCTCTGAGAGATCTCTTCAGTGAAAGATTCAAATGATTATACACAGGCACCATTGAGATCTTTCTAAAAGACTGCATTTTGCAAATTAATCAACAAGTAAAGAGCTGAGAAAAAGCAAGGATAATAAATGTGAGGATGTGTTTTCTTTGATTTTTGGCAGGTACTGTTTTTTTAATTTGCTGTTCAACATGGTGAGCAAACTGGATGATATTTTATAAAAATGCCTTATTAATGTGAAAATATGTGGTCTGCTGCAAAATATTCCTTATCCCTCAAAAATAAATTCAGCTGTAATGAAGTAAATAGTTTACTGTAATGTTTGTCATGTCTTTTTCATGCAAAAGTGGTATTTTTGTCTGGCTCTCTGAATGCAAAAATACAGTAGTATTGTAATGAGACTGTGGTCAGTTAGTCAGAGAGCATCTGTAAGGATTATACTTGCTGTAAGTAAACCCTGTAAAAAACAGGATGATCTGGTATACAGCAATTACAAAGTAACATTTTGAGTAATTATTTTCTAAGCCTATTCAAACTGAATTAGTGATTCTTTAATAGTGCATTGTTTATATTTCTAGGGATAAACACCCTGATAAATATTATGTCCCGTTTGGGACAGGATGATCCAGCTCCTTCCAGGTAATGAAAATAATTGTTTGCAAGTAGAAAACCTGTTGCGTAGGGAGATGTTTAATAGAAACAACCAACTTACTGTCAGGAACAGCTCTGGCAAGTAATTGACTTTTTTATTATGAAGATGTGTTGAACCTCCATTAGCAGTGACATAGTAATTTGGTCATGCCTGCAGAAAACTCACGAGGAAGGTTTTAACAGATAATTTTATCATTTTTGTTTATCCTTGAAATGAGGAGGACTAAAAGGTTACCTTTTTGTTTTCTGCAGAATAAAAAATAAAATTTGTTGTTACTGTTATCACTGCTGTAAATTGGATTCTCTATCATGTTTCCTCACAGTAGTACCTTCCTGTCATGGCACCTTGTTAACATGAGTGTAATACTGAATGTGGGTTTTGCTGATTTACTGGTCCAATTTAAAGACACATGCAAAACCCATTAATGCTGTAATGTAATAATCCTTAAATGACCACTAAGAATTCTGTGCAAATAAATAATGTTTAAGATGTGGTTTATAGCCACAGGCACCATATTTAGCTGAAGTGAATAAACAAAGCACATAGGGATAATGGAAGAAACAGATTCATGTGAAACGTCCTAAATGAATGAACTAGATGGCAGAGTGTATTTTAACTAGTGCTATGACTGGTCCTTTTAGGAGTCATCAGTTTGGAGGAAGCTCAGAAATGGGAGAAGTTGAATTCTGAATAAATTATTGTTGCAGTATTCCCCAAATGCTGTTTCAGCTAGATTGTGCCTTTTTCTTTCAGAGTCAGACTCAAGCTTATTTCAGCCCTCTTAAGATAACACGAGATAAGGCTGTATTGCGTTAATTCTGACCAAATAACACAGAAATATAAAATCCTACTTGAGAGATCTGTTTTCCACTGTGTTGCTACACAGAGGAGTTATAGCTTTGCTCACACTTTATTGCTTTACACAGCAGAAGTACTTGAATTCTTTCAGCACATAACAAGAGCCCCCATTTCGGAAATTAGACTAACTATATAATTGTTGGGAGAGTGCAAATTACAATAAAAGCTGTCAAACACTTGAGAAGGATCTTCTGGATTTAAAACAAAAAAAAAATCCTGTGGCAGTGGTCTTAGTCCTGTTACAATCATTTGTTAAGTCAAAGTGGTGCTACTTATATGCTTTGATGTATAGAGCAGGAATGTGTTTATATTCAAAGACACAGTCATATTCTTTCAGCTGCTGTGTCCTGTTAGTCCTTTGTTATATAAGCAGGCAGAGAGCTTGGAGGAAACAAAATATTTGCAAAAAAAACCCCAAAAATCCACATCAATGGAAAATCAGGAGCAGTGATAGAATAAAAGGAAAACAGGGAATACAAGATTCTACTAGCTTAATGGCATCTTTGAATGCATCTTCTTGTACAGCCATTTTTAATTTTGAGCTTAAATGAAGTTACAGAAATCGGGGCATTTAAAGGTGCTATGAAAAATGGAAGTACTTCCTTGTAGCTCTGCCATACCAACAAATCTGTTGCAGTCATCACACTCTGCAGGTGCTGATGTTAATTACATACACTTCCCTAGTTGCATGCACAAGACTGAAGACAGGCTGTGTATTTCAATCACCTGGTGCCCTCTGATGGACAAAGAAACCTGACCTCAGTGCCAATCAGCGGTACTGTTTCCTTTCTCCATTTGTTAAGCTCTGACAATAGCTCAGAATGGAACATATGAAAATTTCAAAGGTGGTGGTGTTAGTCCTGAGTTGCAAGATTCATGTAGTTGTTATTCTGTTTTGGAAAGGATTGTAACCCGGAGAGGGTGGGGGAGACTGCAGAAATGTCTATCATGGCTGATTAGTAATCAACTCTGATTTGTTCTATTTTAATTGTATTGTGTAAATAACCAGCGTGTGTTTTTTAGCTGATAGTAAACCTTAAAATACCTTTTTCAGGATTAACCACAATGAGCGTTTAGAATTTCTGGGAGATGCTGTGGTGGAATTCTTAACAAGGTAAATGGGGGGTTCTTCAACAGTCCTCACCTTTGTGTGTTATTGTCATACCATTGGGCTTATAAAGCTTTGCAGCATCTACTCTATGGCTGTGTATGTTTGCAATCCTGACTCATATTTAGAGCTGCACATCTGCACACAGCTTGCTTGAAAATTCCTTCAGTGCTGATAATAGAAGGAAGAACACAAAATTAAAAGCTAGAGTTTCTATTTCATGGAGTGCATTTAAGCTGATTCAGGTTAAAGATTATTCAGTAACAGGAAAGGTGAATCTTTTATCCTTTTTTTAAAGGAAAGATATTTTTCTTAGCATGCCATTTTGTTTCCATGGGTTCTCTTTCTCTAGTTGCAAGTGAAAAGCAGTTATTGGTAATACTGAATGTGTTACTGTTCTTGTATTTCCAGTTACTAGGGCTATAGCTTCCATAATGTCTGTATGTAAGTCTATATGTAAATAGAATGGTTGAGCACAAATGTAATTTATTCAGAAGTAATAACAAAAAAACATGGTTCATTAAAAATTGTTCCAGTTTGGGTCTGTTTTGAGTATTCTGAAATCAGTGGACAATACAGGGGTATTATCAGCTACCTCCATTGGTCTCTTACCTGAGTATGACAAACAGGCAGTTTGCAGAAAACAAAGATTTTTATCTATTTTCAGATGATTTTCTTTGTTTTTAATAGGGGAGTAGTCTTGTTTACTATAAAGCTTCTCTTTAAGCATGCTTGTTATATGAATAACAAAACCTCTCTTATATCTCCCTTCTCTGCTAGCCCCTACTAGCCATTAGCTACTCAGTATTAAAAGCTAGTAGTCTATAAAGGTCTCCACTGCCCTTAAAACGCATGGCCTTTTCTCATATACAACAGTATAGGCTGATAAGATGGAAGACTTGCTGATTAAAATGTCTTGCATTTTTCATTGTCATTGTTCATCAACCATCAGTTGACTTTCTGAGCTAACTTTTCTCTCAATTCAGAAAAAAAATGAACTACTTTTCTGTTCAATAGAGCATGTAAGCACCTATTTAAATTTTTTTCTAACTCTCTTGACTTCAGGTCTCTGCTTTTGTGATTTATGATGCTTGATTAGATTGCCTCTAAGTTTTACATCAATTTTTGTCCTTAAATAATCTTGCATCCATCTGCAGTTTTCTCCATGTGTACTGGGTTAATAAAATATTTTAATAATTAGTGTCATCTACTGCCTTATTTGTGGGATGTTGGAAACATTCTGTATTAACTTCTTTCTGACATGAGTTAGATAGTCATATATGAAGATATGCAGAATAATTTATCCATTACTCAGATCTTGGTTGGATCACTGGATTACTTTTTTTGTTTGTTTGTGTTTTATTAAGTATCTTAATTGTGTGATGACAAATATCATTAAAGGCAGTTGAAAGCCTGTGATTTTTACTAGTTTTTTTTTTTTTTTTTCCTGTGGTATTAATGACTTCACACATTTGAAAAATACAGATTGTTGACTTCTCTTCTTTGGCTCCAGTATCATCTGATAAAGTACTGTAAGAAACTTGTAAAACAAATGTCCTGAGTGGTGGTCCAGCCTGAATCAGTAGTATCATCTTAAAGCACTGCGTGCCTGCAGCACAGATTTTCTCAAGGCTGACAATTCCGTTGTGCTTTATTCCTCAGCGTCCTCTAGGTGTCAACCGTGGTGAACCCACTGCTGCTGGTGGATGGAAATCTTCAGATGAGGAACCTGCATATTGTTGCAGGGATTTAGAGATTAAGTGCTGCCCGGTAGAGAAAAAGAACTCTTCCTCCCCTGTCACTAATGCGATCCAGTTTATTGAGCATTGTTTTAATGGTTGTTTCTTCTACCTTACTTCAAGCTGAGTGGCCACCTTGGGAAGGGACCTGTGTTCCCAGCGAGGATCTGAGGGAAGGGCACGGTTCCCTAAAGGCACACGTGGTTCATCTTTAACCAAATGCTGACAGCATCTGATCTGATTTTTTGTTTTGCCAGTGTCCACTTGTACTACCTGTTTCCCACTCTAGAGGAGGGAGGATTAGCTACGTACCGCACTGCCATCGTACAGAACCAGCACCTGGCCATGTTGGCTAAGGTACAGTTTTACACGTCTCTGTATTTGACACCTGTAGGTAGGATACTATTAGTGTGTGCATTGCTTCTTGAGGGACCTGCCTGCTTTGAACATCAGTGTCTTTACTGTGTTTCATATACAATATTTGGGATACAGGAACTCTTTCAGTTTGAAAATACATTTTAAAGATGAAGTAGGACTTAGTGTTCTCTCCAAAGCATGTTTTTAAGAGGAATAATTTTTGCAGACAGAAGGATAAGTATTTTAGGATGCTTATGTTGAAGGTGTGTCTGTATTTCCTTCAAATTGCTGATAGAAGAAATTTAGTGAAGAAAAAGAAACAAACTGATTGCTTATGAAAGGACTTCCTGAAAGAATATGTAGGGAGGATGTGGCAGCAGGTTGTAGTGAAAGTGGGGGGAAGAAATAATTTTGTCTGCTCCCTAACCTACACTATCACTTCAGATTCACTGTGAACTATGAGAGAAATATGTTAGAAAGGCTTTTGGTGAAAAGTTGTATTATCTTATCAGAAAAATCAAGATGCTTCTGAAATGTATTTCTTTAATTCTGTGAATGACAGAACATTTTGTTTTTACATGGTACTGGGGGGCAGGAATATGATGTTGAAAGTTGATTAAGTCTCTATTTGTAGATAACTTGAAATTTCCTTATTCATTCTTGATTTTGTTATCATGTTTTTTTAAAAAACAGCCTGAAACTTACTGATGTATTAAGCTATGCATGCACACGTGCACACACGTCCACTGTGTGTTGTTGATAGTTTTCAAGTGCTCTTTTAATCTTCTCTGTTCATATTCACATAGTAATTTAAACATGCATATCCAATCTTGAGATTTTGACAAAAACTTCATGATTTCTAACATGTCATCTTTTGCTCAGTTCTTAGGAGAGGCATTGGAAAGGGAGTGAACAGAATCATTCTCCTCCAAAGCTTTCTTTTAATGATTTAGCTAAGCACGAATTGATTGAAATGTTTCAAATCAGAGTTTTGTTTACAAATATGGTATTGAACTGCCTGATGTTTGAAGTCATGGTACTATTGTAAAACCTGCATCAGGAATGCTTATATATCCTTAAAGTCTGTTCATAGCTTTTATCATAATATGGACAGTTTTTGAAAATTTTTATTGCAACATTTTTTAAACTGTACTTATTTATATTAAATACAACTGTAAATATTAGGTATCTGTACATTCCTAATTTCCAAACTTACCCTTTTTTTCCTCTCTTATATGATGTTCCTGGTTTCATCCCCTTTAATTATCCCCTGCAGTGTCATGTTGCATTCAGTTTACTTACTCAAGATAACTCTCAGCTCTTCAACTTCTCTTGTGGATGTGGAATGCTGTTTTAACTGAGGATCAAACAATAAATTTCTATAGTTTCTAAGAGACATTGTAGCAGAAATTTAAAAAAAATCTGAAATGTGTTGCAATCAAAAAATGAGAAGCAGAACACATGTAAAGACAGATGAGTGTAAGCCTCAAAAATGGAGATAGGCCACTGGAAGTGGAGGATACACCCCAACACCCAAACACCAGCTGTTAAAATGAATGAATGACAGTAATCTGTAAGAAGTTTAAATTCAATATAAAACAACTAATGTTCCACTTTTATGTTGATTCTAACAAGTGCTCCCTGCACTTTATAAAGTTCAGTGGAACATCATGAGTGGTAATTCTCTGTGTTCCTGAGCAGTGAATAGGCTCTCATTCATTGAAAATAGAAGAGCCCTTTTTTCAAATTGAAATATGCCTAAACCATGCACCTCAAACAACTTAGTCTCCACTTTTAAGTCTTAATTATACTCCAGGGGGATGAAGTTGAAAGTTAATGAGAAATTAGTCAGTAAAAACTTACACCCAGTTGGGAAGAACCTGTTCTCATATGAACTTTGCAAGATGCACAAATCTCTTCTTTAAAAATCTCAGTAATAGTTTTGTGTCAGAAAGATTAGTATGTAAAGAGAATTTAGTAGCTCTTGCCAGCATTTCTATAGCAGAATTATCATATATAAGATATCTGACTCACTACACGAGATTCTGACTGGCAAGCAGAACTATGGTTTAGGCAACAGATGAATGTTAGTGATAAACATTTGAAAGGAAAAAGAAAGCTAGGTGGCACTGCCGATTAAAATATCAGTGTTCTGCTTGCAGTGTCCAGAGACTTTTGTTACTGCCACTTGTTGACACTCAGATGTTCAGTGGATTTTGTCTACCAGAGTTCCAGTTCTTCACTGTTCTACTTCATCTTCTTGTAGGCAAAATCGTTTTCCTCAGTTTAAATTCCCTTCCCTTTGAATGTCCCTTTGGCATTTCTGAAGGCAAATCTCATGAGATCAAACTACTGACAAAAAACATGGCACATTGCTCACGCAGCCATTATCAGGATATTTTTCTGTCACACCCTCAGCCCTTTACTTGAACTTATTCCTAAATCTCCCTAATAACATGTTTTGATCTGGCTTCCATTGACAATTTGGTTTGATAATTCCTAGCTTTCCCATGGTATCACACTCTAGTTGCTTGCCTGTGGTAAACAAGTACAAAATCTTCTAATTTTAGCGTATGTCTGAAACCGTGGAGAAAAGCTTTAAAGTTCCCTTAAACCCAGTTGCCGCATAATAATAGTGTAATTGAATTCTAGTGACTAGAACTGCTTCTCTCATACCTCTAAAGCCATGGTTTTAACTCTTTCCACATATTGTACAGAAGCTGGAACTAGATCGATTTATGCTTTATGCTCATGGTCCAGACCTTTGCAGGGAATCGGATCTCCGCCATGCCATGGCCAACTGCTTTGAAGCCCTAATAGGTAAAGACGTGTGTGCAGACAGTTATGTTTTAATATGTCTACATGCCATGTTGCCTGTGATGGAGGAGATATGGGTCTGTGTTGAGCAGTGTTAATAAGGGTAGGTGGTATTAAAGCTTCTTAAATCTTCATCTCTTCCCATCTCCTGCACATACGCCGTGTGTATAACATGATGAGTGCAGTAATACAGTGAAAAACCTCATCTGCCCATTCCTGCCTCCCATGCACTGAAGATGCACCCATTTCATACTGTTGTGGCGCAGCACTTCTGTCCATCAATGCACAGCTCCACCTCTCGTGTGCCACCGTGGCCTGCTGCCTGCAGTCGTCTGAGAGGAGCAGTTTAGTCACCGTGGCCTGACAGGAAAAGAGCAGGTTCACTGCTTCCAATAGTACTTGCGCAGACCTGCAAAATGTGGAGTCGTAACTCAGTCCTGAATTTTAAACTCTGCAGCTTGCTTTCTGAATGTACCAGGCACTCCCAACCAAGTCACCAGCCCACTTCCTCTGTGCCCTGCTAACCGTCTTCTATGAAATAAACAGGGCGTTTGCTGCTTAAATATTTTTTGGTCTTTGTGTTTTCCTTACAAATAAAAAACATGGCAATATGCCATTGCTGGTGTAATAAAGCTACTAAACCCCTCTAGCTGGGGCTGAAGGGGAGTTTTGTCAAATTCACTGTTGGGCACTAAGATGCTAATTAGTGACTGGTTGTGCTAGTTGATATCCTTATGTTGGAGAAGAAATCAGGACTGCCTGACCACAGTTACCAAATAAGCAAGCAGTAAGGCAGAAATCTGATCCATTATATCCACACAAGCTCTATTTTAAATAGCATATTTTATAAAACTTTACTTGTTTGTATACACAAAACAAGCTAAATCTCACTGATGTGGCTTCATATTCATGCAAATGTACTGTACATGATATTAGCTGTGGGAATGGTTTAGCCCTGATCCAGGTCTTTACATACTACACAAGCTCCCAAAGCGTTTTCTCCTGCTTTGAAAAATAGATTGTAGTTGACTTAGATGTCAGCAGTTCTGTGCGTTCTGCCTTGGGCCAAATTGCATTTCGTCTTATCAAGAAATAAGACTTTTCTTGTTAACTCTATTTTACTTTCCATGAGTGCTTTGATCTTTAATTTAAAAATAAAAAAACAAGCAGAAAGGAACACTAGATATGTATCTGTGGCTTTGTTCATATACTTCGGCTTGTCTAGGATGTAATGATCAGGACTATTTGGCAAGCACTGGGATTTGCTAAGAGAGACGCTTACTGTTTAACCTCCAATACAAAGTTATTCAGATTTAATTGAGCAATAAGATTTTTGTCAGGGCCATAGCTAAAATCTGGGAGCTTGTTAAGGGACTATAAAAGTATATGTGGGGTCTGGTGCTCCTACTTGAGAACCTTTATAAAAGACTGGTGCTTCTCCCCTGTGATGAAAATAATCAAAAGTACAAGCAGGCTCTCTAGGACTTGTTTGAAATTCTGTGCTCTCATAATATGACTCCAATAGTCTTATTATAAATCCCCAAACTGTTCTCCAAAGAGTCCAATGAAAGCAGTTGACCTAGTGAGGAATTAAAAGTAAAGAGGCAGGGAAAGACACAGCAAGGCAAACCATGTTCTCCCTGTATATGGGAACCCTGACTGCCTTTCTCTGTTCTTTGTGTAGCTGTGTATTCCCTTTGCTTTTACAAAGATGTGCTTACAAGAACTAGTTTGAGATTTTCAGAAGACCTCCTATAAAGAGTATCAAAGGACAAAGTGTTGACTTTATAAAGTGCCTGTGCAGATACAGAGTGTATATGGTACACATGAAAAATACAGTATGCTAGCACAAGTTTTGCAGAGCTTGTTACTAAGGGACATGTGAAGGACTAGTATATGCAGTATAAAAAAAAAAAAAAAGAAAACGAGAAAGAATACTGTAATCTCCAGAAATTGAGAGATGCAGAGGTGAAGTTTCCAGTTCAGACAATGTATTGTGATACTGGGGAGACACTGAGATTTGGAATAGTCCTGACATCATTTGTATGCAGAATGTAATATTGTTGAAAGTACAGAATAAATGAAAGTTATTTGCTAGCTATTGAAATGTACTTAATGTTTTTCACTATCTGTGTATGTGGTATCAGTTAGCTGATTACTGGAAGCTACTCCTAGATATAGTTTGCTGCTAGACTAATTTGTTTAAGTTTTGCTCTTTGGATGTATTATTTTCTATCAGTGATTTAACTATTTCAGGTTTTTCTGTGCATTTTATAACCATTGATTTATATTGGTGTTTAATACGCTTTAAATTTCTCAAAAAATTAGGTATTACTACAGAAAGCATGCTTTTAAAAAATAAGTGTACTGGAGATGAAGGCATTACTAAGCACTTTCCTGTGCTTAGTAATGTTTTAAGTACTAATGCAGTATTGACCTTAGACATTGGTCCCCTCATGCAGGAGCTGTTTATCTAGAGGGAAGCCTAGAAGAAGCAAAACAATTATTTGGACGTTTACTCTTCAATGACAAGGTACTTGTGTGTTTATATGTGTTGACTTCCATTTTAAAAATAACTGAAGGCATTCTTTCTTGTCCATTGTTTTACCTGAGAATCACAAATGACCAGGAATACATCTGTTGTACTTACTTCCTGGAAACTGAATGTAGCATAGTCTGTTTAGGGCAGCAAGCTGCACTGGTTCAGGCAAAAAAATTATGGTGTTTCCTCAGGTGTGCTGTTTGTTGGTTGGCTTAGGTTGGGAAGGGTGGGCAGAGTGGGAAACCCAGAGGCTCCTATTCAAAGTGCTGCTCTAACAACAGAGATGGGTGCTGTCCACCCAGGCACCATGCTTTGGGGAAATAATGCACAGATAGAGTGACTATTCCTGTTTCATCAATTAAATCATCCTACCCCTAAAAGTTTTAAAAACATGTATTTGAAGAAAATACAGAGGATTTCATCTAACATTTGCACAATTGCATAATTAAAAGTCTGATCCATTCTTGTACCCTGTATCTTAGATCGCTGTTAGTTGGAATTTATCCTATATAATGGCTAAGGAAAGTAACCAGTACATACTGCTGGGACAATTCACATGGCCGTCATGAGGCAATGAATTATACAGTATTTTCTTTCTTGAAAGTCTCTGAGTCTGAAATGACAAAGCTTATTAGAAATAAAAGTATTTTGAAAGCTATTGTAACTCAGTATTTATTTGCTGTTCAGTGCCTATAGTGAAGGAAGATGAAATAGAAGAAAATAAGTGTGGGTTTGTTTTTTTTTTTTTCCTTTTTTAGTCCTTGCCTTTGGTGAAGTCAAACTTGCGATTGAGGAGTACTTGCAGATAAAGTTAGTCCTGAGGCTTAAATAAATCTTTTTCTTCCTTTAACCACATTCTATTTCGTTCAAGGATTTTTCCACCTCTTTGACACAAGCTAATTGGGAAAACTACAGGCAGTTTGAACAGCAAATACATGATTTTAAAAATTAGTTTGCCAGCACTATTGAATTTGCAATAAGCAGAGTCAGCATCTGAAATAGTTCAGTATTTCAAGTAATGACATTTTATTTAGTACTGTGGAATTTGTTAAATGACTCCCTTGAGCATTAAAGGCATCTCTCAATGTTTGCAGGACCTGCGGGATGTATGGCTTAATTATCCACTACACCCACTCCAAGTAAGTGTATCCCTTTCTGTAATAAATTTCATAGCTCTGTTTTATTCTCAGGGGTACTTTTCCATAGATTTCCATTGTAATGACATCTCAGAAATTGTGCTAGAAAGTAGCCAAAGGAATATATATATTTGCTTTTGTGTTTGGCTTTGGTGTGGGTATTTTTAAGTAAATGAGTCTCTGTCTCTGTGAGAATTAATCATTCACCTTTCTTAGGCTCATGTTTGATATATAACTGTGCTTAAATGATAAATCTAGTGAGAGGTAACATTTTGGTGGATTCTTGTTCATCTTCTTGAAGTTAGGGGAAAATGGTATAAAAACAATCTATGTACATGTTTTGTTGACCTGAAATTAAGGCTGAAACCTTAATAGTAGGAAGGCACATTAGTTGAATGGAGTAAGAGTACGATTCTGGATTTGAGAGTTTTTTTGATGTGTGTGTGCAATGATAACATGGTTGTTTCAGTGATTCCAGTAGCTTTAATACCAAGTAAACACTGAAATTATGAGGGTGTCTGAAGGCTCATTTATCCTCCATGTATTGACGAATGGAAGTTTACAAGGCTGGAAGTTGGGAGAATGGTTTCCCAGTTCTTGTTCCCTTACTGAATTCTGGCGGAAACCTAGAGCAAGTCACAGAGCCTCTTTGCACTGTAGCTCCTGTCTTCAGAGCAAACATGGTAGCATTTTCCAGATGTGCAGGGGTGCTGCAAGAATAGCTGTATTCAAATTGTCATCCACTTAGTAAGTTTTTCAGGGTCATATGAACATCTGAGAGGTACTTTTTGTCCAGACAAATCTCTGATGTTTTGTGCAGTCAGTTTGACTCCTTTGAAACTGTGCACCCTTCCAGCAGAAGGTCGCTTTGAGGCTCCTATCTGAAAAGTGTCATATGTTTGTCAGGATTTTGCAATGGATACATAGACAAAATCTTCAGCAACAAATCAGTGCACACGAAGCGTTTTTATGACCAGCTCTCTGTGAGTGTAAATACAAAAAGAGTCTTAACGGGAAGATAAACTTTTGAGATTCAGCACCAGCTGTCCTGCATGGTAGCACAAGCTCCCGTGAAAATTCTTATTCTGGATTTCTTTCTTTTCTCTTCAATTTAACCTTTTTATCTCTGCTGTTACAAAGAAGACTTGGACTCTGCTTAGAGATCGGAGATAGTATATGCAGCTTATCATTTCTTGATACTACCTTGTGTGATGAAAATTTATTTTCTTCCATGTCTCAGAAGCCAACCTAGCTCTCTGCTTGCCAGTAGGGGAAACACAGGCTGTTCAGGTTAGCCTTTGGGCACAGCTAGCTTGAAAAATGTAATTTTAAAAATTATTAAAAGTTACCATAACAAAATGATAAGTGAGTTGCAAATTAAAAAAAAAAAAAAAAAAAAAAAAAAAAAAAAAGCTGTGGGTAAGATATAAAGAACTGAAGTCGTTATTTTTGGTAGTCATCAAGTCAGTAGAATTAGTGATGAAAAAAATAGTGGTCACCTGGGTAAATGTGGTCCCTTTAGGAAAAGTCAACATGTAAAGACAAGTCCTGCCTCCCAAATGAATAGGAGATTTTAAAGAAGGCATAAAAGCATGCGATGATGCAGATGATACTGTCTGATGGGTTTCCTAAGAAGCTGTTGGAAAGGCACTCATGAAAGGCTTTTAAAAATATGTTTAAAAAAAAAAAAAAAAAAAAAACCAACCCAAGTGAATACTGTCATACCCTTACAAAATGTAAAGGAATGGCTGAAACCTAAGAAATGAAGAACAGGAGTGAAATGACCACATCTTACAAGGGATGGAGATCACTGGCAGATTTCCCTAGGGATCTTTGCTGAAGTACAGGGTGTTCACATCGACAGCTTAGGGAAGAGGATGAGCAGTGAGGTAGCAGTTTGTTAACAATATCAATTTATTCAGGGTAGCAGGGACAACAGCAGGTGAAGAATTGCACTCTGATTGCAAGAATGCAAGAGTGACTAACTATGGAGTAAAAAAGCAGATGGAATTCTGTGCAGGTAAATTTAAAGGACTAGGCATGAGGAAGCAAAAACAGTCTCAGCTCCACATGCAACTGAACCCCAAACTGATCATTATCACCCAAGCATAGGATTTTGTTGCTGGGATATGTAGGTCAATGAAAATTTCAGCTGAAAGCTCAGTAGTGTTTAAGGAAGAAGACAAATTTAATGTAATTAATTAATAGAAAAGGGAGAGGCAACAAACCAAAAAAGATCTTAAAGCCACTTTAAAGAACTGTGGCTAGTCTTACTTTTTCTTTAGGCATCCTTATCTGGCTGATTCATCCTCTAAGGCATAGCTATAAAAGAGATGCCAGGAGTGGCTGGAGGAAATGCTTAAGCCATTTTCCAGTTCCAAAAAGCCATTGAATGGTGTCACCACATCAAGGACATCAAACAAGAAACTGATAAGAAAAGATCCTGACCCAGAGTGATAATTCTAGTTTTCTTGTGTTATTGTGCCCTTTTGAATTTCCTGTACTAAGTATTTGTTCTTGATTTTTGATACTGAAGGAAAGTTGGAGAAATAGATTTGGGTTTTGTCTCATCTTGACATTCTGTCAGTCTGACAGCCCTATTATAATAATTTTTTAATCTGTTGCTCAGTTGCAAACGTGATAATACTAGAAAACTCAGACACCTACAATTGTACATGTTTTGTGAAAATAAGTAGCCCGTGCTACCCACATGTAGAGACAAGACCATATAAGCAATGTGTTATAAATGCCTCAGCTATTAAAAATGCATATGTCAGAGCTCACATCTTCTTTGAGTGGTAATTATCCAAGACAAAAAGCCACAGGAAACTGTTTTCTCAGTTCAGCTGTCCATGGAACAACTTGTTTACTGTATTCTTTGCCCTTGGTTTACAAAAGCCTTGCTCTTCTCTGAAAAGTTCTGAAACAGTGTCAGTTTATCATTATTTGCACTTCATTTTATTTACAGCTGCAGGAGTCCAATACTGACAGGCAACTCATTGAGACCTCTCCAGTTCTTCAAAAGCTTACAGAGTTTGAGGAAGCAATTGGAGTCATCTTTACTCACGTTCGTCTTCTAGCACGTGCTTTCACTCTGAGAACTGTAGGCTTTAACCATCTGACTCTGTGAGTACACAGCAAGAGTCCTCATGGAGCTCTGTTGGTCCTTCTGTTAGTATCCCAGATTGCTTTATTTGTAAACAAACTCTAGATGTTATATCTGTTCTCCAGAAGAGAATAGAGCAGCTATGTTCGCAAGCCTGCCTGGCTCAGTACGCTGTCTCTCGGTGGATACCTTGCAAAAGACTATCAAAGCTGTCAGAGTGCTCTCCTGTTGTTTCTTCTGAGCTTCCTGCATCACTGATACTTGCACATCACTCCTGAGGCAGTAGCAAAATGTACGTGAAGGTACATTTGGGCAGAGGAAAGAAGTAAAATCATGCTGTTTGGTCCAAGTGCAGCCCTTGTGTTCTGTGGGGTGTAAAGCTGCCAGGCCCTGTTCTAGAGGAAACAGTAGAGCCGTACCAGTGGTTACCCAGTCCAGGATCTCACATGAGTTTAAATCCTGATCCTTTTATTTCTAGTGCATGGACAGACCTTTTTCTGTGTTGAAGTTGTTGCATTTATTAGTTGACTTTCTTATAAGAAATTTCAGGTAAAGGCTTTATCCCATTACAAAGTTGGTGTCAACTGCTCTTCTCCTTCAGTTCATCCTAGATCTGTGATCTAATAATTGTGTTTATATGTAGCTATCCTGATTTTCATTCTCCCTGAAAGTTGGTGTTACAACAGTAATGAACTGTGTTTTTGTCTCATGTGGTTAACACTGCAAAATTGTCTTAAGTGCATTTGGAAATGAGTGAGGCTCACTTTCAGATCACTATTTTAATTTGTGTGTGCATGCTGGTTTTGTTTTTTCCTCCCTGAGTGCTTATTGATTTTGCTGCATTGATGTCTCATTTTTCAGAGGCCACAACCAGAGGATGGAATTCCTGGGTGACTCCATAATGCAGTTGGTAGCCACAGAGTATTTATTCATACATTTCCCCGATCATCATGAAGGGCACTTAACGGTGAGGCTGCCATCAATCATGCTTTCCAAAAGAGCAAGAGTGGGATGGAGACTGGAATTATGGGAGCAGCTAGTGAATTATTCTGGATTGATTAATAAAAGAAGCCTCAGCAACCACTTCTCTTAATAAGGCTTTGTTAATTTTAAGTCATGAGCACTTCAATGAATAGGAAAAAGTGATTTATGAGCCCAGTGCAATAATTTTTGTTCTGTCTGTGAAATGGATCAAAAATTTTAAGGGTGTCAGTGACGAAATTGGGAGATAAGACTAGTTTTTATTTAAAGATGGGTGTTTTAAACCATTTATTTAAGTAAGCATGTCACATGACTTTTTCTTCATGGCTTCTAGTCTGTTGAACCTGCAACCAGGCAGAATTATGTTTCCCGATAATAAGTTTTTACAATCTGTTTTAGTCTGGTTTTCATGTTGTCTTCAATCTGGAGCTCCTGTGGTAGCTTTTTAATTTAATTTTACTATTGTTGTAGTCAACTGTTATTGATTACTCTAGCCTTTAAGCCTCTCATGGTCTCTGAACAACCCAGTTTGTGGATCTTTCAGCAATTTACAGTACTTTAAACATAGGGTGGTAGCATAGGTAGTTTTTTTCCTGAATGTTTCATTTAGTGCTGCAGCTAGACCAGCTGTGGCTTTGTGAGGAAGAAATTTTCTTGGACTTACTTAATTTTTCTTAGTTTTCAAGTTTGGACTAGAATAAAAAAGTAATACATATATCAGGAATATGAGTTGAGTCTTCAGGTTAAAATTAGGAAATAGCACTGTAGGTTTGTTGGCTACTTGGAGTAGTTTTCTCAAATCAATAAAGGGATGGCGATGCTAAATCTCTAGCAGGCAACGTGATTTCAAGAATATGTTTCTTGGGTCTTCTGGGATAAAGCTGTTTACAAGAAAAAAAGTACATGCTCTGATTGAAAGTAATTTTAAGTTTTCTTCAGCAGTTCTTAAGTTTATTTTGCATTTGTATAGATTCTTCTGTACCATTCAAGAGACAGAGTAGATAAAGCTTGAACTTTTGAAGTAGAAGTTAGAAGAAGAGCCTTGCCATATTAATTCTTCAGAGAAACAAAAACATAAGGCAGAAATCCAAGACTGGTGGGTTTTTTTTTGCTTTGTAGGTGACTTTTAAGAATGTCAGAATGTCAGGCATCAGTGTTGTTATGTTAAAATAAATCTTTCAAGAACTATTTGGCAGGAAGTATATGAAATGCTGCTATTAATGGGTGTAAATGCTCAGAACAGTGATCAGAATGTCTCCGTGTTGCTTAATTTAATTAGTGAGTTGACAAGTAGAACAAGTTGCACAGTCCAAGTTTGATGGGAAAACTACAAAGTTAGAGTGGAATGGATGCTGAAAACAAATAAAGAGGTGGAGAAGTAGGCATACCTAGAATAAAATTTCAACTCTGGGGATGTGTGTACAGTGAAAAGAATAATTGTTTTAGAATGTTTTTAAATTTGAGGGCAAATGAAACGAGACGTGAGAAAGGAGACTGATGTGGGATCTGAAGAGAAACAGGAACATATTTACATTCAAAGTAATAACAGAACATTGGCTAAATGGTGTCTGTTGAGAACAATTTTGGTCAAGGATGGGGAGATTCCGCTTGACTGGCAATGCAGTGGCTTCCCAGTGTGTAGTGATTACTTGTGGAGATATATCTGTAAATTAACTATATTTAAGAAAAGGAGAGAAGAATTTAGTCTTGTCTATGTATTTTGAGATAGCCAATTGATCTGCCAAAAAAGAGGATGAAATTTTGTTGGCTGTTGGAAAATACAGCTTCCCTAATACTGGCTTATGCTACAGTCATGGGTAGTGGTATGCTGTGTGAAGATGGAAGAATAAAAATAAAATTGCTTAGTAATTAGAGTTAAGCTCCACTTGAGCATCTGTCACATGTTACAGCATCTGCAATGATGCAGGTTGTGTGTTGCCAGAGTAGAGACTAGCTCTAAAAACGTTGCTGGGCAGACACAGGTAGCATGTCTTCCCTGTATCATTAAGAGGAATTTTGTTTCTTACTAGATCACGCTTGTAAAGGAGGCAAATTCTAATATGGACCAAGATGATAACCACAGTGCTAGAAGCATAACTGGCTTTTCTTTTTCCATCCTCTAATTCACTGTGTAGGGTATATGTTGCTCTTTGTTTAATGATACTACTAATCATGATTACAGGTCCCATCAAAATAAATACTTTGCAAACACAGCAAAAGGGATCTTTCTTCTCCCGTTACAAGAAACAGATTTTTGTCATGTGGTACTGCACTTCTATCTTGTAGCTGGCATATTGTACTTAAGATTTTGTTGGGGAAAGCATTGTTTACTTATCTTAAGGACATAAAAGGGAAGAATTTTGGAATGGAACAAGTAGAAGATGAGTTTAAGCAGCGGTTAGGGAGGTAGGTTATAATCTGCAGTCAGCCTAGTTTATGAAAATCAAATTCTGAGTATCTGCTTCATACATCATTGCCAAACAAATTATGAACATACTGTTCCTTATTTATCTGTTGTCAGAGATGAAGTATCAAGTGCAGCAAATAAATCTTGATTTTCATAAGCTCAGTTGACATGCTGGAGCCAGGTAGCATATAGCTTGGATCTAATAACCTGAGCAAATGTGATATGGAAGACAGAGAGAAAAAATGTGTATGCAGCTTCTCAACTCTAGATTACACATTAACAGTGGACAAGAGAGACATTCTTTCCCTCTCACCCCCACCTCCTATAATATCCCTAAGTTCTTAAATTAATGTTGTTTCATTTAAAGCAAAAAAGCAAACAAACAGGAAAAAAGCTTACCGTAACCAGGGGGTTTGGAAAATTGTACAAAACCCTAAAATTCCACAATACTTCTTTAAACTGCACGGGATTGTATCTTTGGAAGAGCTCTATGTTTATTCAGGCAATCTGCCTAGGTCCAGGGTTAAGCATTTCAGGGAACCCTGCTGGAGGACCAGGTGTCCTGGACATTTTCATATATTGAAAATGTTAGAGCCAGATCTTTGTCAGGGATACATTGTCTCAGCTCTACTGCCTTCAGCAGAGCAAAAAATATTTACAGGCTGTCCTGCTATGCATTTTCTTCTCTGGCCAAATGAAAGGAGTGACTTCCTCATCTGCTTGTTCTGAACCAATAGACTGTCTTGCTTTAATGTGCATTTGTTTTAATTACTGCCTATTTATTTTTTATTTGATGGACACGGCACTGTTCTATAGACTCCAGGGTATTGTATGTTTATGCTTCATGTGGAAAAATATATATAATTGTATATTGCTTAAATTAGAAAAATGCAGATTAGCTTAGATAAGCAAAGCATATCTACAAAAGTAACATGCCTATAGAATAAATAAAATTTGGTGAGAAGAACCAAAACAGAAGGAAAAATCACCAGTAGAAAGCATGAGTAGGTGTTTATGTAAATCATTTGAGGTGTGCTGAAAGAAAATGTCAATAAACTGAGAGGAGTGAGAGGCTACAAGGATAAAAGTAACTTTCTCCCCAGCTGTCTCTACCTTTCATAATTTGATATTGCTAATTGTTGCCATTGAGTGGAACTTCTTTCCATTGCAGTTGTTGAGAAGCTCTTTGGTGAACAACAGGACACAGGCCAAGGTGGCAGAAGAGCTGGGTATGCAGGAATTTGCCATCACTAATGACAAGACAAAAAGACCTGTAGCTCTTCGAACTAAGACTTTGGCTGACCTCTTGGAATGTGAGTTAATTTGGTTATAACAGCTTAGTACTTACACAATTTCTTTTTCCTCAGGGCTTAAGAAATCCATTAGAAATCCCCCAAATCACTATTAAAAATATATGTTCAAGCTTTCAAATTAATTATGCCTATACCTCTGAAAGCCAGATTTTTGAACACTCGACTAGATTTTTGTAGTCTGTATGAAAGCATGAAGGAGACATACTTGCAGATACAAAGTTGTAGGCTTAGAAATTAAGGGGTCATGATGACCAGACCAAAAACACGTCCAGAAAGTTAAAGCTTGTAGTCGGAGTTGAGCTATTTAACAGTCGTTTCAGTGTTTCATGAATATGTTCTTGTCACTGTCGGAAGATAAAGTAGTTCCTTCAGCAGGTGAATATTCTGTGATTCATTTGACTGCATTTTAGGAGGTTTCAAAATGGTCATTCTACAAGAGAGAAAGCTACCTGGAAATTAAATTATTTTTAGTCCATTTATGGAAGTTTGTGCTACTTTCTTTCCAAAGAAAGTGGAAACATTGATAAAGATTGAGCAAAGAAGGGTAATCTGTATTTTGTATATTTTGATATATTTTGTCTATTTTGATATATTTTGTCAGCCATTCAGACCCATTGGCTTATGCCAGATCCTCTAAGCAAATAGAAATAGCACACAAAGAGGAGTGATTTATATCTAAAGTTTTTTGTGGTATGCAGTAGTAATTTATTTGTGAATACCCACGGTCTCCTGGTCAAAATGTGAGATTAGGAGCTGAGTGTTGTTTCTAGCTCTTTAAATGACTGACTGGATTTGGGTAAGTCACTTAGTCTCTTGGCCAACTTTATTCTTTCCTGTGCATGCAGGATAATAATACCTCATCAGATCGCTGCTGTGAAACATAATTGAATATGGCTTTAGAGTACTCAGAGATACTTGTTTCTAAAAGTGCAAGCCATTAATGTTCTCCTTGGATGAATAACAATACTTGTTGTTGTTTTTTTTTCCCCCAAGCCTTTATTGCTGCCCTGTACATTGATAAAGATTTGGAATATGTTCACACTTTCATGAACGTATGCTTTTTTCCACGTCTAAAGGTAAGATCTGTCAGGTTCCTACTCTCCTGCCACTATGTTTTAACACATTACTGTGTCTGGGACTCTTACCACAATCTCTCAATCATAAAAACTTATTTGTTAACTTCTTACAGGAGTTTATTTTAAATCAAGATTGGAATGATCCTAAATCTCAGCTTCAGCAGTGCTGCTTGACACTCAGGACAGAAGGAAAAGAGCCAGACATTCCTCTTTACAAGTAAGAATGGGCATCTTATGGATACAAGCTAATTATTAGTCTGTCTTGTACGTGGAGGAAGATGTTATCAGTCACCCTACGTTTTTACCATAGTTTGTTTTTACTGTAGTTATTCAAGCCTTCTACTCTCTTTTTGCCTGAAGATGGAAAATGTTGAACTAATGTTTTCAAGTTTTAGGTGTTTTAAGCTGTTACAAGATAAAAGCGGCATTTTACCTTGTCTGGTTCCAAGGGAAAATATAATTTTTATGTTCAAATGGAGTATTTAATTGACATCATTCTATATTTGTTCTTCTTTTAATGTAAGGAATAGCAATATTTTAAATAAAATTAATGGAACAATGGCTGTTTGGATGTGAAGTCAAGATACCTCCATACTATTTCAGTAGTAGTATGAAGTTTCTCTACACTCTACATTATTATTCAGACATAATAAATGCCTTGTGTTACACATCCTTGTTGTAGACTCTGTTTCTAATCCACTGAGTCAGGCACTGAAGAGCAGCACAAGTTTTGGACATTTTCACTGCATAATTCAGCCCACTTATGTCCTTCTGTTTAAGTGATAGAAGAGCTCAGGGCAACGAACCTCTTAACTTGTACACCTCAGATAGCTGAAGCTGGATGGGGTGGATATCCCTTCTCTCTTGGAGTTATAAAATTGCATAATAGCTGCTTCAAAGAGTCAGGAATAAACTTAAGATTGTATATTGCGTCCATATCCATTCAATTAATGTAGGAATGGGTCCAATGGCAGCCCCCAGAAGAAGAGAGAAAGGCTATGAAAGTTCTAGGCTTGTGTTGTTGGCATTATTTTATGAAAAAGGTATGAAGAACGAGAGTCTGTTTGTCACATTTACTGAAGTAAAGTTTTCAATGAAATGTAGCAGTTTAGTTCTAGTGACAAAGAGTGCACTTCAGAAATGTATTTGCTTTAACACTGCAACTGGTGCTCTGCAAATGTGACTCCTCAGAGTCTCTGTATGAGTGCTCACAGCTTTGTTTGAGTGAGGAAGATAAATACAATAAAAACAATTCCTGATTCTCATAAAACCCACTGAGTATCAAGTACCAAATGTTGGTTTTGTTTTGCTGTGATGATAAATTGATTTTTATAGTACAGCTTAGAGATAGTAATATGCTGTTATCTTCCTATTATCTTGTTAAATTCCTTTTCTTGGGGTTGTCTGTTTCACTGCAGTCAGTACTACTGCTTTTATATTTGGATGGGTTTTATTTACTCTTGTCACAGCACACAGAGTACTATAGTTAGATACTTTTAAAATTGATGTGAAATTGGTGCTCCTTCCAGAAATAAACAAGGGAGTGGACAGAACTTGAGCTAACAGTGGGTAGAGATTTGGGACAGCAGGAAGAAACAGCAGAAGCAGCAATTCATTGCATGTCTAGGCAATTATCTTTTTTCCTCTTTAAATGGTTGTTGATGCATATCCTAGACATTAGCTCAAATTGGAAGTTTGTTTTGTGAAAAAATGTAACTTTTCAAAGCTGATGGAAAATTTTTTTTGTACTGCGATAATTGAATATTTAGAGAGCTACCAAGTCCAATATAAAGTCCTTTTAAACCTTGCTAACTGCATTGCTCTCAAGGACTAAAATTTTAGTCCACACAATAATCATAGTGGCGTGATTATTTACAATTGCACAACTACACACAATTTATATGACTTTATTACAAGTGTTTAAGCACTTTGTATATAGTTTGCATTTTTGCTTATAGGTTAAAGTTTTAATTTTCTTGTGGTGCTCCGGAGTGAAGCCAGAGGAATAAATATAACCAATATAAACAAGGTGCATTTTATGGAAATTTCTCCTTTTTATTGCACACCATACTCGTAATCTGTGGGTTAGTGTGATTTATACAGGCATCTTTCAACCCTTGATCTGTGCTTTGCACTAATTCCACTATATGTATTGACCAGACTGAAAGCTTGGTGATGTATGTGCCACAAACAGATTCTGTTTTTTAATACTTCCTGCTTGAATAAATCATACCTTTCTTATTTCAGGACTTTGCAGACGGTGGGACCATCTCATGCCAGGACTTACACAGTAGCCGTTTACTTCAAAGGTGAAAGAATCGGATGTGGTAAAGGCCCAAGGTATAGTGAAAAATTAATTACATTGTGTTGAAGTTTGAGTGTGACTGTCCAAAATGACTAACCGTGGAGATAAACAAGTGTGTGGTTGACCTTAGCAATGGAAAGCTACAGAGCCTTCTTCAGCCTATTCTGAGTTTCTGCCTCAGGAACGCCTGAAGGGTTCAACGTCTGTACACTTTTGGGTCTTAAGTTTTTTTTTTTATGAACCTGCCTACAAGGTGGCTAGCAATGCTAAACGATTTGTGGCTCTCAGACTAGAAACTGCAGATAACTTCTGGGAAATAGTGACTTTAGCTTTGCTACTGGATTACTGTCCATCTTAAGCTGGTAAGTTAACGGTGCAAGGTTCGCAGTTGTTTGGGGTTTTTGCTGATCTTATTACTTCTAGGCAATTTAGAACAGTTTCTAAAGTTGCAAAGACTTCAACCATGAACCCCAAAGACCTCATCGTACTTTCTGCTACTAAATCTGGTGGTGGATATAAAAATATCACTGGTTTTATAGTGTTCACACCTCTGATTTTGTTCTTTTTTTCTCTCAAGTAAAAGCAAATGCTTCAGTGAAGAATGGACTAGAATATTCTGTTATTGTTATTGATCCAAGCTTAAAAATATTCTACTGGAGCTTTAGTGCTATTGCTCACATATTTATGGAACGACTGATATGTCATACACTCTGGGACTTACTAGCTACTGGTTATCCGAAGAGTTTTATTACAGAAGAGTAGCTGGTGTTCCACTTTGTCAGAAATTTTAGTTTATTCTGTACAATTTGTATCTCATGTAACATGCTTTTGTTTGGCTCTCACAGTATTCAGCAAGCGGAAATGGGAGCTGCGATGGACGCACTTGAAAAATGTAAGATATTTGGGCAACAGATAAAATAATTTATAGCTTACATCTTTGGTCTGTAGTGAGCTGAGATGTAGGTTTTGTGGGGGATAAGATTTGAACAGAATGCGTATGTTGAATACTGTCAGCTTTTGAGCAGCAGATTTTCCTTTCAGTACTTTCAAGACAATTTTCCAACAGCTGAAGTTAATATGATACCTGGCATATTTTAAAAGGGAGTTGATCAGCTACAGAGATTGCAACTCAGAGGGAGCCCTGTGCAGTTAAGCGTCATTAAGATTTTTCATGCTTAAATATGCAGTGGGATAAGACTGCTTGGTCTCTGACAGTGTGGTTGTCTCATCCTCTAATTTAGGGGAGGAGGAAAATTACTTTTCAGTTGCTGATGTAGAAAATAAAATTTGAGCTTAGATTATACAGTAAACTAGGCTAAAATCTGGCCAATGTAAGTCAATATTTATCTGTTAAGAACACCTTATATCAGCTGAGGATCCAGTGATCTGTGTATGCATCTCAAAATTACGCACAGGATAGCCAGTGTGGGAGCAGTCCTTCATTGCAATGGAGTCTCAGATATGAAAGGAATAAGTGTATGCAAACTTCTTATACAAAAGAACTCGGGTCAGTTTAGTTAAAGTGCCAGGTGTCGATGTACTGTAAGCCAAATAGTTTACAAGCATTTCATGTGGCAGAAGTGCTTTATTGAGAAGAACATGGGAAGGAACATTTTTTTCATTTAATTCAAAGACATGCAGTTCCTCAGATGCCAGAGGTTTTTAATGTGTTATCTCTACATCTGGAAATCCCTGGGCTTAAAAATTTCAGAAGACAATGAACCCCTGTAATTCAGAAAGTTTTTTTTATACCCATCCCTTAGGCATATACTTCATACCACTGATAAATTTGACAAGTAGGAAAATGTAACTTCCTTTCTCCACTGAAGATCTGCAATACATTACTGAAGTTTTCTTAGAATGTTTTTTCACGTGACTGTATCTCTACTCAGAGAGCGGTGAGCTTCATCTCCTATAAGTCCAAGGACTTCACAGCTCTTTTCTGACACGTATTTGTTTGAATACCATAGACCTCTAGAGGTCTCTACTCCAACCCCCCCTCAAAACAGAGCCAACTCTCAAGTTAGGTCATGTTTCTCAGTGCCTTGCCAGTCAAATTTTGACTGTCTTTAGGGGTGGAGGCTCCACAGCCCCTGTGGGCAACTGTTCTATTATATATATCTTTGTGGAGTGGAGTCTTTTGTTTATTTTTTTAATGCATAAGTGGCTAACTTCAAGTAAAAGTAGTTTTTGTGTACATGTTTATATATATGATAGCCATGATGAGTTTACTACATAAATTTCCTTCTCAACATCTTAAATGGATTATAAACAAACAGCTTGCTATCAAGCCAAGTTCTTCAGATTTCTTAAAGAATCACTTTACCGTCACAGTGCTGAAAATCCGATGTTCGTTTTATGGTGCACATGAGCAACAAAATATCCCAGAACTCCATTAAACAAAGCACTAGTGTTTTTAAAAACAACAGCCTTTTTAAAAACGATTTTCTTTTGTTGAGATTGCTTTCTGGTTTAAATAAATACACCCTCCTATGCCTGCATTGTAAATAACTGATGAATAAAATTTATTCCTGTAGTATATAATATGAGGCACAAATTTCACCAGCCAGTCAAACGAAGTAGTAGAAAGTCATTCTGCTCTATCACAAACTCCTGCAGATTATGTGGCTTCTGCACCGTGTTTTCTAGCTGAACAAATCTGTGCTGCCTGGGACCCAGAAAGAGAAGGAAAATGCTTGGTGCCAAGGGACTCCTCCCTGAGGAGCCTCAGGTGAATTCTCATGGTAGCCAGCTAGAGAGAGAGCAGTCCTTTGCTGAGACAGACATCTCCCAAATTTGCTTATGACTTTAAAGGTCAGTGTAGTAACCTTTGCATTCATCTCGGACACAGGTAGGTAGCCAGTGCTGATCCCAGAGCTCTGTGTGATCCCAGCAGGATTTACCCCCAGCTGCAGTCTGCCATGTACTCTACCACCTCTTCGTTTTCTGACCAACTGGAGGGTGCAGGTCTGCAGCACAGAGACACCGATGAATGTCAGCACCCTGCTCATGCAGAAAATGTCATACTCTGTCAGCTGTGCACTAAATTGAGAGCAATTCTGATCAATTATATAAGCTGGTTTTACAGCCTCCATTCTAACTAGTGTACATACATACCAGCCAATGGACAAATGTCTGAAATCAGAAGCATCCATCCTCCTAGCCATTTCTCTATCACCTCAGCCTTGTCTAGTCTGTTTTAGCCAGTCTTCACTCATCCACGCTCTTAGGCTGTGCTAAGGCTGTATTCTGGTACATATCCAAGCATTAACTTTTTCAGGAACAGATTTTACTGCATTCCATTTTGTTACACTATTACTTTCCCATTAGGAACCCTGCCATAATGTGGGGCATCTAGTGGATTCTGCGTGGTCTAAAATAATAATAATGGAAACATCTGTATGATGCTTGGAACTGGTGGCTCATAAATTTTGGAGTGAGAACAAGACAAAAAGCCCTGACAGCACTGACAGTAGTCTCACATTCGTCTTTCAGTATCGACCACCTGTTGCTAAGGGAACAGAATGTAAAATCCAGGTAATACCTGGCTGTGTTGCTATACCAGGATTTTATATTTTATTTTTGTGACGGTATTAGATTTGTCAGTGCTTTGTAGCAAGGGAAGCAGATGCGGAAAACACAAAGAAACCAAAGTCTTACGAGACACAATCCTGATTTACTATGGATTATTAGAAATAAATGAGTTAAAATGGTAATAATGTTATTCCCCCCTACCCCTAATCTCATTTAAGTTTTTTTTTTTTAAAAAAAAAAAAAAAAAAGAAAAAACAAAACCAAAACAAAAAACTGAGTCTTTCTGTGTTACCAGTTTGTTTATTAATGTAAAATATTTCTCCTTGTGTCAGATAACTTTCCCCAGATGGCCCATCAGAAACGGTTCATTGAACGGAAGTACAGACAAGAGTTGAAAGAAATGAGGTGGGAAAGAGAGCATCAAGAGAGAGAGCCAGATGAGACTGAAGAAGCAAGGAAATAAAAGGAGGGCACAGAAGCAGTGGCATATTTACTTACTTAATAACTCTGACTGTGGCCTACAGAGACCTAACCTAGTTTCTTGCAGATGATGAATGAAGAGTGCCTGTTGATATCAAATAGAAAACCATAATCTCTTCTTTAAAAAGCGTGTGTATATATAGTATTTCTTTGGTTTTAAGTGCAAAGTTTGTTTGGCTTTTTATTAACATTTGGTTTTAAATCCTTTTAATTTTTATGAAAAATTGTGGGATTATTTTTATTATTTTTACTGTCTTGTATGAAGTAATAAAGTATTAATTTCAAAAGCCTGTAGGAGGAAAAGCTGTTTAACAGTTGTCTCCTATATCCAAATGCTGTTTTGTCAGTGACAAGCAAAGTTATTGCATGAACTCCACCGTGGAGGGGGAAAGTGTTATGAGAAACTAATTCAGCAGAGCACTTAAGCATGTGCCTAACAAGTTTTGCAGCTAAATGTAATTCTTGACTCTGCTACACCAGAGCCATAAACTTCAGGTCCTTTTACAGAAACTGATAGAGTAATTTAAACAAAGGAGATACTCAGTTTTGTTTTAAACAGTGGATTCCACATCTGGAATGTGACACAGGTGTGTGTGGAACTTTAGGGGGTTTTGTCTTTAAATCTGTATAATAAAACTCTAAGAAAAAGAAAAGAAAGGTAATTATGAAGCAATAGAATAACAACTTTTTTCACAGAAAATGTACTGAGTTTACAAGTTTAGCATCATTCTCAACTTCTTGTTCTTTCAAACTGGTGTCTACTTTAATGGTTTCCTTTGTCCAGAAGATACCAGTGTGACCATAACAGTTACATGGTGTATTAGAAACTCCATAAAGGTGCTGTTCCAGATAGGTTCATTGCAAACTGTTTGCATACAAAGGAAGACTTTGTCCCCAAGGTATAGTTCAAAGGTGGCATACAGTTTTAAGTTACCCAGTTTCCTTGATTTTTGGTGCCTGGGGCTTGTATTAGAGAGACAGATGTTTCTTCTATAAAAGCTCTGAATGGTACCAAAAGTGGAACATCCACTTCGTCTATTGGTGTTTTTTTCCACTGGTTATCTGGTTCATTGTAGATGTTGGTGTGTTGTTCATACTTTTCATTTTCCTGCTTCAAGCCATCCATTTCCATTATGCTGAGTTATTAGTTAAAACAGTCCCTTAGTAAATACTGTGTAGTCATTTCTCTAGCTTTCTTTTCCAATAGGTGAAACAAGATACAGCTCTTGTTTTCCTCAACTGTGCATCTTATTACTGCTTCAGATCCTTTTTCATGAGTCATTTACGCATCTTTCCAGATGTGAGTAGCACAGATAGATGTGATAAGATACCAGGCAGCTTCATGAGCATGGATGCACAAGTCTGGCCCAAAGAATTCATACAGACTCCTGAAAGAAAACTTTTGCCTAATGGCCACACTGCGCTGAGCAACTAATTCAGCAGTTGTCTGAAGCACCTTTCTTTAGCTGTGTGATGGGCATCCATGAAAGCACTTTATTGCAGGTGCCAAAGTAGACACAAGTGTAGCTGAAAAGTTCAGACTGCCCAAATGTCTTCCCAAAGTTTCACTTCTAAGCTAATCAATACGTGTAGTTTCATAAGCACATTTTTGTACACATGCAATGTGAGATACACTTAAATGTTGTTTTTTAAAAACTTGACCCCACAGCACTACCTCACTTCCTCCAGCTTCTGTGATTGCTTTTTTTTAATGGATTGTTGCTTTAAATACATTTCAGAGGATGAAAGGAGAAAAAAAATGGACAAAAAGCAAACCAAACATTCTGTAATTTAGAGAGTGATAATAAACCATTAAAATATAAAGGAGGGGATAAAAATAACAAGTTAAAGGCAAGGAGCTACTCTCTGCTGGATGCCGCTGTTCTTTGACTTTTGAGATGTTATTGTAACTCCTTATAGCTTCAGTCTAAATAAAAAGCTGAATGGCAGCAGGCTTGAAAAGCAAGCAGCAACAACTCCCCTGCCCTCAAGTCTTTTGTATTTCAAATTCTTTTGTATAATTGCCCATCTGCTTCTAGCAGTAGGCTTAAACGGTGCATTGGTAGAGGGTTAAAGGTAATTGTATACACCATTGTTTTATTCTTCCCTCTTTACTGTGACCAGATTCATGTGTTTATCGAGTAGAATGTGCAGTGACTTCATTTTCAGGTGTATGGTTGCTTTGCAAACTTCTCTCATATCTGATATCACCAGAGTACCCCAGTGGAATTCTTAGCTCACAGTTTAACATTACTTTAATTCTTCCTATACATAATTTCACTTTTCAGCTGTAAGAAGACTGTGAGCTTATTCATAAAAATTTGCATAAAAATTGATTGAATTTATTAGATATGCTGTTTGGGGGGAGGAACCCAGAACTGTTCTCTTTTCTTCTTTGACCCAGAAATGGATTGAAAACAAACAAACTTTAAAAATTATTTCTGCATTCCATTACTACAGTTAATAAATTTTAGGTCTTCCTCAATAAAATGTAGATGATAACCGTTTTTTCATGAGTGGGTTATTTTCCCTTTTTTCACTGTATAAGCATGGGCTAGGAAGACTGCCTGAAGAAATTTTTTTTTTTCCTTGTCTTGAGGGCAGAAATCATGATAAAAGGTAAAGAAATTCACGTTTCCTTTGTCAAAACCATGGTGTCTTTTTGTGTGCATACTGTCTAAAAAACAATGGTTGTGAATGTTTCTGATAATTTAAGGAGATACATAGAATATGTAATGTGAACACAGTCCTTTATAACACACACTAAGGAAAGAAAATTGTTTCTTTAAGTTGCCTAAATTTGGGAAATATGATTATTGAGCTCATGCTGATCAGTAGAACAACTGTAGTTTATACCTAGGCAACTGCAGCTGCTTTTTTTTTGGAAACGTGAAGGTGTCTCTGGGTTGCTGATAAAGTAAGGTCCTTTTTCAATTGCTCCGGAGCGTGATCTGTTCTTCTTCAGAGGTTCTCATGCAAGATCACTTGACTTGATTTGGGTACAAGTAGATGACTGAAGAACAAGACTGACTTCTCTGTTGATCCAGCAGATCCTGTGAAAGCATGTCCCTTTCCCCCCTTTCCCCCCTTTCCCCCCTTTCCCCCCTTTCCCCCCTTTCCCCCCTTTCCCCCCTTTCCCCCCTTTCCCCCCTTTCCCCCCTTTCCCCCCTTTCCCCCCTTTCCCCCCTTTCCCCCCTTTCCCCCCTTTCCCCCCTTTCCCCCCTTTCCCCTCTTTCTTTAATTTACATATGCACAGAGCATTGAATAGAATTGCAACTCATTTCAGGAGGAGTTTTAATCGACAACATAAAATTCATTGTTCTTTGCAGAGCCTAAGTTTGCTTTGTAAGGTTTCTGTTTCTGGAAGATTATTTAACAGTGATTCTCAGAGAACCTTGGTCTCTAAGGCTGTTGTAAACATTGCTGGTAATAAAGTTTTCCAGAAAAGACTTCGGGCATAGTTGTTACTTGCTAAAACAATTTGGAAAGATCAAAAGGCAAATCCTGATCGTCTGTCACCCTACTTGAAAGACTCTGATTATACAGGCTACATATTTAAATGAGGTAATCGGTTCACTCGTAAAAAGTTTCTGTTTGTTGGAGCTTGGTAAAGCTGTATAAGAGCTTAGGGAGTTGATCATCTACACTGTACCATTGTGCACTGTCTTTTATCTCAATACCATCTGTATCAAATTTCTGTGACCCATACATCCCACCCTGCTTCTCCCCTTTTCCCACCTCCATCCACAGGTTATATATTTGCCATTGAGCATTTGAAATAGTTTTGCCTGGGAATAATAATGAGAAAGTTGTTCCAGTTTTGTTCCCTGAAATTGTAGCGGAAACTTAACAGTTGAAGAGTGCTGTGCTCTGTCTTCTGTTGCCTGCAAGACTAAATGTTTAGCTCTTGGAATGACTGACATCTTGCTGTGAACAGGCTCAGAAATGAAATATGACACATCTCATCATTGGTGCTGGTAATTATTCTTGGCCAGTAAGCCATGGTGTTAGGGGACAGGCATTCTGGATTCTGCTGTCTGTTGTTTCATTCATAGTAAAGCAAATACAGTGAATAACCTGGAAAACAGCTGCAAAATAAACTGGTGGCTGCATAATGAACTTGCATTTACTTATTAGACTAACAAAAAACATTGTCATAACAATATGGTAGGTGGAGTAGGGAATCGGATCTGTCATGGACACATCTCAATACCATTTGTTCTTATTGCAGAGATGCTCATTAGACAATCTACTGCTGAAAAATAGGTACCTGTATTTTGAAGACGTAATTTCTCTTCGTATGAGTATGCTAATTAAATCTGGAAGTGTACTGGTCACTTCAAAGTGGCAAGGTGGAGATTTTTCTTTTAGTGAGAATGACTTTTTTAAAGCATTTTACAATGTTTTCTTCCCTCATATTCTGATGTGTTTTGTGTTCCCAGCCTGAGTTACAGATGGTGTGTTTCTTAGCAAATTGTTCATGTTTATGGACATACTGAGTCTACCTAGCAATGAAACATTGGGTAAGACCATCACTCACATCTCGGTAGTGCTTCTCTGGATTCCTTCTTTAAAGCAATTCAGCCAGAACAGGTAGGCCAAGTCTGTGAAGAGAAATTAAAGGAAATATCTCCCCTCTTCTAAAAGTCAGAAGACAAGGACTGCTCAAAGACAACGAAAAGAGTTGCTATCTTCTACAGCTGTCCTGGATTTTTTGTTTCCATGCCTGGTTTTTCAGGTACCCTCAAATTTCACGGATTCTTCTGGGGTCCTAAGATGAAATAGGTTACGTGCTCCAGCCACTCAGATTTCCCTATCTATCGGGGAGCAGGTTTACCTCGGAGGCTCTTTTCTTCATGTGCTTGCTACAGATAACAAAGGGAGTGTCATATTACACCCAAAACCTTGCTAACTAGGTATATTTCCCTTTGTCTAAATCCCCACTGCATTCCTTAAAGTCTTTCATAAGGATATAAATCTTATACCTGTGATTTACAATATAATCATAGCTGAATGCTTCAAGCATATGATTCTGTTGCTCTTCGCAGCACCTGTGGGAGGGAATAAGGGACGGTTTATTTGATTGCTGAGAGATGAAAACAAGGACAAAATGGTCACCTGGGTCCAGGCCTCAGGAGGTCTGCGGTAGGGCAGCGATGCCTCGTCCAGTAGGTGCCCTAGTCTGTGGATTAAGTATCTTCTTCTCTTCGAAAGCATGGTGTGCTTCTCTTTCCATGCCTGAGGGTGTCTTTGAGGGAGAAAAAGAGAACTTGGCCATGCAGGCTGGGCATCTGTCACCCTCATCTCTCTTTCCTGCGGAATGTTGGGAAGCAATGATCAAGAAGCTCTCTAAAACGGGGGACTAATGAGAAGCCAGAGCCCAAACAGTGTGTTGCTTGTACACCTTTTTAGAAAAAGTGAATAAATAAACTTCCACTTACAGCAGACATTGTAAAAGTAATCCATTAGCAATGGACAGACTCTGGAGCTGACAAAATGTGAACTGTTACTGGCGGCAGAAGCAGCTCATATATCAGTGGTCCAGAAGTGATGCAGGAGTGACAGATGAGTGTTTGTCACTGGAGATAGCTTGTTACTTTATTTAAAGATGGGGATGGTGGCCATGGGAACCCATGGGACCCTACTGGTAAAACCTGAGCCAACATTTAAAAAAAAAAAAAAAAAAAAAAAAAAAATTACTTCCCTGCAGATTTTTTCCTGTCATTACTTCGGCCATTTACTGTGTCAGAACAGTTCTGACATGGTGACCAGTTTTTGCTGCCAACTAGAATTACAATTTAAATACTGCAGCTCTGTTTCCAGAGAGATACTTGAACTGGTAAACAAAAAGCAGTCATCTCCTGATCCACCAGAACTTGAAAATGCTAATGTTGTTCAATATCCAATTATAAATTTATTTTTTATTAAAAAAGAAAAAAGTTTATTAAAATTCTCCAAGATAAGAATCTTTAATGGCCTCATTGGACAAGTCAGCCAAAATTGCTGCTCTTACCTTCTGTTGTTGTGATGATAAACATTGTCAAATACGTGAGAATCCTTTCGCTTTGTCATTAAGAAAAAATAAATATGCCATCCAAAGGAAAATATAAGAAAAAAAAAAAAAAAAAACTGTTTTAATCTTTGACATTTAAAATTCCTGTCATTCAATACTGTAGTCTTCTTCCTTCTTCCAAAAACTGAGCTAAATATTTTAAATGTTTTCCACCCGTCAGAACAGATTTTACAACCAATATCCTGTCTTAGTAGAAGTCTGCACACTAACAACCGAAAGCAATCCATGTGTTACTGCTTACTGTTCTTTTGAACCAGGTCTTGACCAGACATCCAAAATGGTGGGACACTGCCAACATTATAAGCTCTCAGAACTTTCAGAGAACTCAGTGGCTTTACCCAGAAACTGCTTTTCAAGACTCCCCATTCCTTTTGCTCCTATTGCTTTATTTTTTATTTTTATTTTATTTTTTTTTCATTTTTCAATGTTTTCATTGCTTGTTTATTTGGTTTTTAATGTGGTCCATGGCACTACTGTGTGGTATTCCAAAGTTCCCTGATCCTTACTTTTGGTTTCCAGATACAGCATCAATTCCTTGCCCACTGTGAGAAAAGCAAATAAATGACCTTAAACTCTTTGCCTTTGTAAGTCATACCTCAACATTTATGTCAGAAATCAAGTGCCAACAACAAGAACAAGAGCCTCACTGCACACCCATGCAAACAAAATACTGAATCTTTCCAGTACAATTTTGGGGGGCTTCTGTCAGACATTTCAAGAGAGATTGTGAAGTCTTCAGGCATGTAGTGATGTAT